TCTGCATATGATCTCAGATTCTGCTGCTGGCATTTTGGTTCAACCATAACACCATCAGGTGCAGTACAGCACTTGATGTAGGACCTTATAAACATTAGCAAGTTCAAAAATGGATATATATATATATATTTATATATATTATCTTTGAACCCATATTGTAAGCAAGATTGTCTATACCAGTCGTAGGTAAGATATGTTTCCTTTTTGCCAAAAGTCTGCTTGGTATAATATAGTCCACCCATGGGAAATGTTTTTTATAAAGTAATATAAAACGAGCTATGTGTGGTCAATACAAGCTCCTACGGGCTTCAGAGTAGCAATAAAACCCATCCAAAAAAAAATGTATATTTTTCTAAACATAAATGTGTAAGGATGCTTTCTGGATAATTATCCAAAGAACAGAGGACATGAGTGGTTCTCAACATTGAAACATTCAATAAACCTTTACCATGTTTAAAGGGTGATTAGGAGGATGTCAAAGGTCAAGCATATGACCATCAAATGCTTAAATGTACAAATTAAACCTTTAGATCAAGATTTCATTTTGCTTTTTTTAACCTGCCACGATATCTAAGCTCAGTCATTTGTTTTGTTTTAATTTAACTGTATAAAGCTTGTTCTCATACTGCTACATTAACTTGTGTTGGCCTGTGCTGATGTTTTTTCAATATTAATACTATCATTATAACGTTATTTTTGATCGTCCAAACAGGTTTACATGTGCACAGATATCTCTCCTTGTCTGGCCAATCCCTCCTTGAGGCAACAATGTCTATGGTATGGACAATACTTAGACAATAAATCACAAGTTACAAAACAAAAAGGACAAAAAATTGCACAAGTAAACATAAACATCATCATTAAGTTGTTGCATCAAATAACGTTATTTTTTTTATTGATGTCTCAGTATGGAGGACCTGGAGAGTCACAGAGAAAGAAGAAGAAATAGAGAATTTTCAAAAAAGTAAAAAAAAAAACAATCCACTGGACTTTGTTACCAAGTTTGAAGACGTTTCACTTCCCACCCAGGAAGCGTTTTCAATTCAAAATGTCAGAAATAGCGTTGAGTTTAGGGCTTTATAGAGTGGACCAGAAAAAACTTCCTGGGTGGGAGGCGAATCGTCTTCAAACTTGGAAACAAAGTCCAGTGGATTGTTTTTGGAATGACTATGACCTGGATGACTTCACCAGCAAGAAATACAGTACTTTAAAATTTAACATTAATATAATACAATTAGGGGTCCCATTTGAAAAGCATTTTGTAATTGCATATTTTAAACTGAATTATTATAGAGGCATTAAAATTTGTATTTAATAATCCATTCTTTTAAAAGCTAATTATTTTTACATTTCCATTTTCTTTTTTACTTAAAATTTTCAATTCAAATTTGCGATTGCATCTTTCTTTAACCTCTCAATTGAGCATTTCTATGACCCTTCTGGTCCCAGTGCATTCTCTTGACTGTTTCCTTTTTCAACTAAGCTATTGTGTGAAACTTTGTTGTGTGACACCTGCTCACTTTGTTGCTCGAGACAAAGTGGAAACTCAGAGCCTTTTATATTGAGCAAAGTAAAAGTTCAATCTTATCAAATTTTTAGAAAAACTTGTCTTCTGAAAGCAGAAGGGATGCATCAATTTTTCATTTTTTACTAATTTCTTCCTAAAGGAGATGCATCATTAGCATCTAGAATTTTGATATAGTGAGCCAAAGTTATTCAAAGTTATTCATATTGTCATGCCCCAATATGTTGCTTGTTGCTCCATCATCTGAGCTTTATCTATGATTGTTCAACTACTAAAAGCCAAATAGTCCACAAAGATAAAGCATGACAGTCAATCAAAACAATGACAGGTGGAGAGCAAATTTTTGCTTGTGCAGAGTACCTCCAATGGTACATATTGTGTTGTGATCCAAATGTGGCTGTCTACATCCTAGCAGCAACTGTAATTGTTTTAACATTGTTTTTAATGTTCTAAGAGACCAGAATGGTGACAGAAAACTAAATGGAAAAGGGTCACCATTGCACAGGCACCAAAGGGGACATAAAATAGCCAGCGTGGCTAGTTTATACCACGTACATGACATATTATTCTGGAAAGGAGCAGGTAGAGCGTGATTTCAAAGATGGGACTAACAGAGTCAGTGGTAATTGTTTAGAACCAGCTCTTACAGCAGTCAGTTGTTGAAATTTTAACAATATGAACAACTCTTTCAGGCATAATAAAGTCATATATAAAGTATTCCTCTGCTGCAGCTGTAATCTTGACTTTTATTGTTACAGAAGAAGCGCTGTTGCATTATGGGTCTGCCTCAGGCACTGTGATCGGTCCGTTCTCATTTTAGACCAGAGAGTACTGAGCCCTACTAGACTGAATTATGCTTTGTGTAAGTCAGTCTGCTGGCCAGGCTAAAATTAAATAATAAGACAATGCAATTTTAAAAAAGGATTTAAAAAATGCAAGGTGAAAAATAAGAAGTAAATGCCTTTTTAAATGTTTGATAAGCAAAGGTATTTATAATCAGATTTATGAATTGTACTTTTAAAATCTTATTTAGAAATAGGATTTGAAAATAAATTTTAAAATGCATTATTGGCAATGCATTAATAAATACAATTACTCTTTAGCAAATCAACTTATGTCAGGTTGAGTGGAGGTTTTTAGAGTACCCAAATGCAGAGTCAAATAGGAAGGGATAATTGCTTGCAAAGTATAATGAAAAAGTAAAAATACAAAAAATCCTTAGTCCAGAACAGATAGTTCAAGAACCAAAAAAACTAGGAGCCACTATGGAGGAATTAATCAAAAGAATGACGAGGATCCAGCAAAGAGTAACTGAACAGTAGGTGTAAATATGGGAGACAGAAACAATGGGATGAATAATTAGCTGATAGGGAGCAGGTGTAGACAGAAGTAACTAGAAGGAGGTAAGGGAAAAGAGACTGGCATGAGGGGGCAACAGAGAGCAACTCAAAAAATATAACACAAAAATGGAAAAGAAACCAATTTTCAAGAAAACATAGAATAACATAAATTAAAGTGGGACTGAAAACTTAAAAAAGAAATTCAAACAGAAGTCAATATAGGACACAAGCAGGGCATGTTTTTAAATTGTCGCATTTTTTCATTGACTAGTCTTCATACTGTATAGGGGATGTGAAAACACCAAACATAGATAAGTATGTGACTAATTCAGCACTATATGCCAGTACTCTGAATGTACTCTCTGCATAAGAGTAAAACTATGTTTGACAAGAAGATCTAACAGCAGTTCTAGAGTGGGTGAATGGCAACCAGCTTGTTTCAACTGTATCTACAACCTATTGTATGGTGATTGGCTCAGATATGAACATCAGAAAAAAATCCTCAGTTATAACTGAAAATCAAAGAAGAATTTCTAAGGATGTATTTGTCTTCAAAAGCAACTAGATTAATAAAACAATCTTGTCAAATCTTCACTACTAGCCAGTGATCTGGTGAAATTCTACAGCTGAAATGATTACCAATGTTTGAAAAATGTAAAATAGAGCATCTTGCATTTTTTGTTTGTGATTTCAGAAAAAAATTAATAGAAATACACCAAACTCTCAGCTGGTTAATTTTAAGAGAAGTATTACATTATTCTTTCCTTATATTTATAGAGGTATTTCCAACACAAAAACTAATCTTCTCCTTTATGAATACAGTTCTGAGAATCACAACTATAACATAACACATGCTGCAAGAATTTTATTCCCTTCCCAAGATAAACAGAAACTATGATAAAAGAATAGTACTGTTTAGCTCAAATGTGGAATTTTTTTGATTAAAAGTGTTTCTCCTACCCAAATTTGTTAATTCTACCTGTATTAATTTTTGTTTTATTTTATAGTTTAAAATACAAAAATGTACTAACTGTCCATTTGATTACATCAATTAAAATATTATAGCAGCTGTTATAAGATAATTATTTCTCAGTACTTGAGGAGCTATTTTAACAAGTACTCTTACTGTAATAATGTTTTGGATGACTACTTATTACTTTTACTTGTTCAAAAAACATATTAAAGTAGTGTTACTCTTACTTGAGTAAAAGTTTTGGATGCTGAGCACACCATATTGAAAATCCATTTGTTCATTTTCTGACAAAGCTGGGAAGGTCCTTATTAAACACATTCTGAGTTCTGTTCTTTTCATAAACTACCGATACTATTTCATTTAGTTTTTTTTGTAGTTTTTGTTTTTACTGTACTGGTGGCTCATTTTCCTGTCGGTAGGCTAACAGAAAAGGGGGTATGAGAGATGGGGGAGACATGCTGCAAAAGACCACAGGTTGGCCATGTCAAGGACCAAGGCCTCCGTCTATGGGTCATGCGCACTAATCACTGCGCCACCAAAGCACACCAAAAACTCTAAAAAGATCTAATTTACACAAAAACCTTTGTAACTAACACTATTAAAGATATGGAAATTAATTTAGATGATATGAAGATTTAGGAATTAGCTCATTATAACATAGTATTAATTAAATACAGATGATAGAGAGTAGATAGCTATAGCGGAATATGCTGAAAAAACATGGCTTGATTGTCATTTACAACATAAGGAGTTAATAAGCTGCAACTGTCATAATAATGCCAAATATTCCTAATCATATCACACTAGTGTGTGTCCAGGCATCACTCTGGAAATGCATCATTTTGTGCAAGAATAATAATTGCTGAAAACTGGAAAGACGCTTTTGTTATTATTTGGCTTTTAAAAGCAAATATAAACATTAAAGCTATTACGAATACATAAATTGTCCCTAAATACAAGAAAAAGTTGTTGCTCTTGTCTGTAAAATTTCCCATAAATAAATAAATAAATAATTACAAGGAAATTGTGTTCTTGTTTCTAATGTAGCTCGAGAGCTTAATGGATTCACGGCTATTTACCATACTGACCTCTCATGCTCAATGCATTACTTAGTGAGTTTATGCTGCAATGCCATGAGTAAGACTACAAACCACAGACTCACCCCTTTTAGCTGCTGAGCCCCAGTGATGTGCTGAAAGACTCTGTCAATCTCCTGCTCGATCCTCCTGGCCCAGTGCATTATCCTGTGGATAAACATTAGAGGCTGACTGTCACACAGCAAAAAAAACTATTTAAAAAGACACATGTGTTTGCGTGTCAGTAGCTAACAAGAATGACAAGTGATGGATAAGAGAAAAATGGTTTGCATACAGTACTTGCAAGTACTGATAACCAGGCCGAATTGTTTATAAAATTTGCATCGACTCCAAGCTCAAAAACTAAAACATATTGCTTAATGTAATAAATAATTAACAGGACAAGCATGTCTTTATGCTTACAGGGTGATTCATTAACCCATCCAGGGAACAGAACCCCGAATAACATCTACAGAAATTCTAGGTTAATTTGTAATGTTCCAGCTTAGTTTGGTTTCTGAGAGGCCAAAAAAACAGACAAACAAAGGACCGTCTCCACAAAACTGTTTTCCAAAAAAGGGGATTATTGTATCATGTTAGTAAGTGTGCATCTTGGTAACCAACATATTCAAACTTTGGAAGAGAAGCAAAATTCATCAAAAATGATTGTTGTGCTTTGGGGCTATTTTTTCTGTATCAGAACCAGGAAAACTTGCTGTCATTAATGTAACCATACATTTTACTGAGCAAGCACACAAAGTTCCCCTCTAAAAGACCCCCCAAAAATAAAAAGACTCCTGTTTTAGCCCGATGTTATCTTTGAGCAACAGCAATAGCGTAAACGCATAGATTGTTATGGTATATCACGGTGTCCACGGCTTTTCTATTTCTAAGAGTGATTGGCTAGCCTGGCCAGCCAGACTGAATTACTGGGAATTTAATTCAGTCTTGTTAGATCTGGCCCGATCAATCATAGCACAACAGAGCGTGATGCTTGGAGTTTTTGCCTCACATTCATAGGTATCTGATAGGTTCTAACCTGATGACGCTGACCCTGTTTGTCCCACCTTTGAAATCGAGATGTAGCAGGGCTTCATCAGGCTAATAATACACCACGTAGTATACATCGTACCAGTCTAGCTTGATTTACTGATCAATCTACATTCCCACCCTCATCTATGGTCATGATATCTCGGTAATGACCAAAAGGACTAGATGGCGAATACAGGGTTAATACAGTCCCCTCCAGACCCTCAGTGCCTCAATGTTTGCATATCTTTCATAAATGTATTGTGCAGAGAGTGTGATCTCTTCTACCATCATCTGTCAAGATAGTGGCATCCGAGTATCAAAATAAAGCGAAATGAAACTAAAAAAGCACTACAAGCTAAAAAAGAAGGTTGACTCTAAAACCTCTGGAGATTATATACGAAAAATATCAATCTTCACCGAACTTTTGTAGAACCATAGTGTCTTTAGTCAGAAGTTTTAATACAGTATTTCTGAATTGAAATGATTGAATTGAAAGTTAATTTTCCTTCAATTTCATAACAATGTATTAATTTACATTAGCTTATCACATAAAATCCAACTGAAACACATTAAAGTGTTTGTGACAACAATGTAAACCTAGTGAATAAATGTTCTCTTTGTCCTAAGATCAAAACATTGCTATCATACACAACACGTAATACATTAAAATATTAAAAAGCATAGTAATTTTCTTTCTATTTTACTTTTTTTCAATTTTGCTATAATTCCTTGTATGTGTCAAACTCTACTTGGTAATAAAGCTTTTCAGATTCTGAAGAGCATGATCACATCCTACAACAGACTGCAATTTCACTGCAACCCACACATTTTTACACATCCAATCAAAAATATTCTGCACTGTAAGAATTAACGTCTTTTATATTTCTTGAACATCATCTAGAGGTGTGAGCCATGAAAAAGCAGAGAAAAAGCAAAGACATAAGAATGTCCTTTTCTAAAGTCTGAATATCCAATGCTAAATTAATGGATGTGAACAACTTCTACACATTGGTCTTTTCCACTGTTTTAACTCTCACTTTTTGTGAACTGCACATAGTTGGGCTTTTTACCTTATCATAAAAAAACAGGAAACACCAGGGAAAAGGCAGGCCCAGAGAACCAACCTGGGTACTTTTAAATTGCCCAGAGAGTGGGTTCATTATCAGTTAGACAGCTCAGAGAAGAATTACAAGACAACGTGACGGATTAATGCCTTGTTGGGCTTGTTCCTACTGTCAGACCAGGCACAAATCTTCTCTCAGCTGCCTAGCAATACAGAAAGATACAGCCTTTTGGATGTTACAAATTTATTTTAGCTGAGCTGATATACAAAATTCAGATCTGATATTAAAGATCTACATTACATTCCTTTATAGAAATTGCTCTTTAATAAAAGCCATAGAAGTACATGTGAGCATCTTTAACACAGCCTTCTCTCTGCAAAGGCTCATTATAAAGATGCAGCTGAATGTCTTTGCCGTGCAAAATCTAAAAGTAAAATAATCGTCAGCTCGAGGCGATTGAGGCAGCAGGACTAAAAAACAGCTTTATAATAGATCATGAGAAAACAACTTTCCAGCCTCCTCACAACAAAAAATGGAGCAATGTTCTGAATATTTCCATAATGAGATAGATCTAAGACATTATGAGTGATAGAGCTGAGAAGAAAATGCCATACCCTGTAATCTGATTAAATCAAATGTTCAATAAATAATAAATCAGAGACTATTTTCTAATCTGATAACCAGATATCTGCAAACATCTATGACTATATGTTTTTAAAAACATTTTAGGATGAATTTATTTTTTCCTTGTGATGCTGTGCAGCATAGTGATGGAGTTTGGAGCACTGCTGCCTTGTCGCAAGAAGGTTTTGGGTTCAATTCCTGGTCCAGGCTCTTTCTGCATGGAGTTTGCATGGTCTCCCCAAATGCATGCATAGGTTCTCTCCAGGTACTCCGGCTTCCTAACACAATCCAAAAACATGAATGTTGGGTTATTTGGCTTCTCTAAATTTTCCTTGGCCGTGCATGTGTGTTTTCATGGTTGTATGTCTATGTTGTCTGTGTTGCCCTGCGACAGACTTGGACCTGTCCAGGGTGTACCCCGCCTCTCGCACATAGACTGACAGAGATAGGCACCGGCCCCACAGCAACCCTGACACAATAAGTGAGAGAGGCTGGATGGATGAGGCCTGATGATTGGTACTTGATGAGCTTTTTTTTTATTTATTTAATCTTTATTTAACCAGGAACGTCTGAGCATCCATTTTCACCCACCTCTTTATTAGGTATGCTATTTCTAAATTATTCACTTTGCTGCTTGCCCATTCAAATAGGGGCTAGCAGCAAAGAGGTTTCCTAATTATGCTTGTCAAAGATTCAACAATGTGTTTTAAATATTCTTGTTAGATTTTGTTCAATGTCTGCCTCAAACAGTTGCTACAGGTTTGTCATCTTCCCGTCAATGGTATATACTACCACTTTTCCCATATCCCAATCCAGTTTTATTAAATCGAGATTACGCTCACATCATAATGTTCAAGTAACAATTTTGAGCGATTGAGTTAAGCTTTGAGACATGAATCTCTATCTTACTGGAAAAAACTGTTAAAAAGATAGACATGATCAAATAGTATTCATGAAGGTTGCAGATTTTATTTACTGTAATGCCTGGTTGTAACTAAGGGCCTAAAAGTATAAAACAAAATATCTCACACATTGGTAGTCTTTTTGTTTTCATGGCTATATTGCACCAAATGACTGAATTGGACTTACTTCATGTTGCTTTCATTGAAATATCCTGCAGCTGTTACTTGTTAAAGAAATACCTTCTTTTGCAAGGCTTGTGTATTTTTGAGTCAGTGAAGTACTATTCTTATTATTATGAACTGTTGTTGCTTACTGTTAGGGGCTTTTATTTTGTTGCATTTTGTTTAGAGAAAATCCTTAACCCATTAGGAATTATTGTGTGCAGTCTCAAGGCAGAGTTTCTTTCACCACAGGTTCTCTACCTCACAGGTAACACCCCTGGATTATTAAATCCAAAAAGAGTTTAGGTTCCTTAGACAGTTTGCTCAACCAAACTTTCTTAATCTTATTTAAGAATATCTTATATTAGGATATGCAGTGATGAGCAGTGTATGTTACCAAAACTGTTCAGGAAGGGCTATAAACCCTTGCAGCCTTTTTCACCCCAGAAAACACTTGTGTTTTTAATGCAGTGCTGCCCTTGGCCTTTAAGGACACAGGAACTGACTGTTACCACTCAACCTTGCACAGGGGATTCTCCATATTTTCTAAATATAGTAAATCCTGGCAGCTCATCTAATTTATTCTAATTAAAGCATCTGATTTCCACAAGCCTTGCAGTTATTGGAACATCCATTCAATATCAGTGTCACAACAACTTGTAATGAAGCGTAGCACAATTAGACATTAATATGTACACTGTTAGTATTATGAAAGACGTTTCCTTTCTTAATAAATGCAAATTAGTCAATTATCTCTAATTTAAAACCATGGCAGTATTTGTCTTCAACCTTTGACCACATTTTTTGTTAAAATTGCCAACATTATTTTATAGGGATTCTATTTTATAGGCCGACACCAATTGCATAATTACAAAGTATAAGAAATAGATGGTTTACAACATTTCAACAAATAAAATTACAAAGGCTGGAGTGGATTTGTATTCAGCTCCTTTTTACCTGTGCAATTTGATCTCAGGATAAATCCATTTGTTCTACAAAGGCCTTATAAGTTTGTTTAAGAACATTAAAGAACATGTAACGTCAAGAAGACTAAGTAACACAGCGGGCGGCTGTTGTTATTGAGTAGTTTTCTCAATAACAATGACTCTACTTAAGATTGGCATAAGAGACGCCATAAGAAGTCCACACCACCACAAACATGGTGGTGGCAGGATAAGGCTGTGGGGGAAAGTTTTACACAGCGGTGACAAGAATCTTTACTAGATTTATTGGGAGGATGGATAAATTAAGAACAGAGTAATCCTAGAATATAAACAACCAGAGTCTTTTATGTGTAAAAATGGGGCAAAGTTACACCTTCCAGCAGCACAGCAACATTGAAAGTACAACCAGTACTACAATGAACTGCATTGGAAAATATAGCTATATGTTGGAATCTATCTATCTTAGCTTAGATGAAGACGATAGGGCGCAGAGCAATATTGCTCCTTTAGAGAACTCAGCAAAAAAAAACATCAGAGGAGAAAAGGGAGAAGAAAAAGAGAGCAGTGACTATACACTATTTCCAACACCCTAATTCATCATAAAACACACACGCGCTTCCTCAGTCGCCAGCAAACCCCTATGATTTACTGCTCCTGTTCTAATTGGCAAATACAACTTGAATCTCCAGTTGTGATTGGACAGAAATCCCTCCCTGTAAACCCTGAAGATGAGTTGACCATCTGCTCTTTTCCTCTCTCCAGAGCAGCCCGATTGTTGAGGCTGGAAGAGGGCCGACAGAAAACTGCAGTCCAAAGCAAAGGGCCAGCTGTACTCAACAGTAACAAGTTAAAGGTTGTGCCGAGGTTGATTTAAAAAAAAAAAAGTAGGAAATCTGGGTAATGGTTATTTAAAAAAGCAGTTTTCATTTGGAAAAGGGAAGGAAAACCACACCTTTCTCTAGCACTAAACATTTTTGTCCAGTAAATATTATGGAATAATCACATTGCATGATACTTTTTGAGCTTTACAGCTTATTTCTCAGAATTAAAGCCCCCTCAATCTGTAATTTAGCAAATTTTCTAAAAAACAATAAAATACAATAAATCAAATGGATTTAGGAGTGTTATTTTAAACACTACACATTTAGTAGGAGGCTATATGTCAAGAGAGCTTCAGATAAACAAATAATCCAAAATATAACATGAAGATAAATCATAGAGAAGATTAAGCTATAATGTAATTACTATAAGATTAATTCTGCATACCTTAGGTCTTGTTTTCATATCCATGCAAATGGTGTAAAGATATCTGCTGTATGATGAAGCAGAACACTGCGTGTGCAATAATTTAAGTCCCCAAAAACACAACATACAATTATGTAACAGCAGAAAATGAAGCAGAGTGACAAGTTTCAGCCCTTCAGTGGTCAAACTTGTCTCCTGTCAAACCCCCCCTTTCTCCCACTGAGGTTTACTTACGTGTATTGCTGTGGAAATGTAAGACCCTCTGCTCCAGGCCACGAAGCGCAGAAAATCAGGAGAATTTCTACTGATATTAAGCAAGAGACGCTGCGAGATCTTTTTTCTTTCGCCATTTTCCATTCATATAATAATAATAATTCTCGCCAGCTTGCTCTGGGTGCCTGGATGATTGGCTCCTGATCGTCTCCTGGGGGTGTTGGAAGAGGGAGAGAGAAGCGATGGGATGCAAATCGACACAATGAGCGAGAAGGTGTCTACGGCTGATCAGTTTCCCGAAGACTTCATATCGGTCTGTGCGCTCAGGTGAAGGAGGAGGAGGCGGGCAGCATCCGTGAAGGCATCGCGGATGGTGGTGGGAGATGCACTACTGCAGCTGCCAAGACACTGCAGAGTCTCTGCTCCCACTCACACACATACTCTCTCTCTCTCAAACACACACAAACACACACACATAGGCTCGCGCGTTCACGACATCTCTTTCTCTCTCCTGTTTCTCCCTTCACGCGCGCTCACGCTCACCAGGCAACAGAGCAGCACCAGCATCCAGTTGGGCTTTATTTATCTCTGCAGAGCCACGTGGGATTTGCCATTTGCTTTATTTTTGGATATGTCACCAAAAGCCCTACATTTTTCCTATTAAACTCAAATAATATTTTTTAAAAATCAGTTACCTTTTTTTATTTTTTCCAGTGACCCTAATCCTCTTCCATAGATACATATATTCTTGGTAAATAAAATCAGATTTTGAAAACTGCTTTAATTGTTTAGGTGTTTTTCTACAGATAAAATAAACAGTAAGACAAAAAAAAGCAGCAGAATAAATATGTTTAAAATTACACATTTGACCCTTGTTTCTGAGAGGCTCAATGAATGAAACATGGCAATCCTGCTTTAAACACCCTTTTCCCTTAGCAAAAAGTAGTTTATTCAAGTATAGTAAAAGTGCACTAATTGCATACTTAAAGTCAAGCAGTGCACTTAGAGTTTACTTATTCCAAACTATATTTCATATACTTAACAATATAGTCGAGTGTACGTGACTATACTATTGTTTACTTTATTGTTTACTAAAGTATACTTTAGTAAACTTAAAATGTTCCAATTTAGTTCGAAGAAGTATTACTTTAGAAAAACTTCAATTACACTAAAAGTACATTGTTCAGGTATACTTTCTAAACTTATACTTAAGTATTCTTAATAGAATTTACTTCAAGTATACTACTTTTTGCTAAGGGTATGTATTTTATTAGGTCCATACTTTAATCATCATAAACATTTACGTTATTATGTTTATTAGTCTATTTCAGTTGTTAATGCTTTTTTATCAAATGTTTGTGTTTTATTATTTATAGGTATTTGGGTAATTGATGAGCGCTCTATGAATAACTTAGATGTGTGAGTCTGTTAAACCTTAATAATACCTGCATGTCAGAACTAATGTTTTCCCAAGTACTGTAGTTTATTTAATTAGGACAGTTCCTCTGTCAGGATAAAAGGTCATCTTCATTACGTGCGTGGCACAAATTTGGGAATGGAATTAGAGCAGAGATTTAAAAATAGTGTAATATTTAATAAGGCTCGATCCATTGAAGTCTCATTTACAGTTGTGTATGATGATGTGATGATGCTGCATAATGCTTCTTTAACTGTGATTCAGGGCCACTTCAACAAAATGTGAGCCTGGTTGGTAAGCGCTGCCTTCTGTAACCCAAATCAACTTCTCTGGTCTGAGTAAGATTACAATTCCTGGTCAAATCTGTTGTCATGTCTCAGGGTTATTTAACACAAATGCATTATGAAGTGTTATTTTAAGAGTTTGTCCCAAGTGATCTCTTCTCAGGAAAAGAATCAGAGAGAGAAAGCTTCAAGATGTAAACACAGAGTTTTCATTAATTCTTATTTTATTTTACCTCAGTGTCGTTTTCTTTTTACCCTGAGGGTCTATTTGTCTTCAAATTTCTATTCACCCCTGCTTTAACAATTCCAGCCTGGTGACATCCCTGTCCCAGATTTTAGATTACCTGCTTTTTGTTTCTCATGATGCTTTGGTTTAATCCATTAAACAGACTCCAGGCTTTTCTGATGGCAGAAAATGTATTTGTTTTTTTCTATTTTTTCATTTTTGAAAAGAAACCTAGATACAAAAAATTCTAATTTATGTTCTTGATGGATAAATTATGGAGCGATAAAGACAGTCAGCAAATGACAAAAACAAGGATGTTCTAATATTCCTAATACTGTAAGAGTTTGTGTAAATATGTTGTTTTAAAAAAAAAAAGTTGTGATAAAAGCAAAGAAGAAAGTATTTCACTTAAAATCCAGAAAATCAGACACTACACATTTCACAATGGACATTAAAGCACTTGGAGACAACGAAAGAAAGAAAGAAAAAAGACAGACAGACAGACAGACAGATAGATAATGTGTGGAGGATTAGGGCAGACACAAGTACTAGAGAATGTGCTGGCAAGTATAGTGTAGTACTGTGCCAGAGAAGCCACAGTGTGTGACAGACTACAATTAATCCCTTGTTTAAGGGAGAATCTTGTTTCCATCACAGAAGGTTTCAGTTGCAATTATCACCAGAGGACAGTTGTAGCTACACTGCAGAGCAGCATGGCAGAGCGAGCCTCCACTCAGCTGTAGGATTTAATTTCTTTGGGTTTTTTATTCACTGCAGCATCTGTAAGGGCTAGTAGCTCTACCCTGAAGCATGAAACTGAACACTGAGATTCTGCAGATTTAAACACCGGATGTCTTTTAGGTTGCAATGCAACTTCCACAGATTTACAAATTGGTTTTCTCCTTTTTTACATATTATTGATGATTTATTTCATTCTATTTCTAATGCCCTTTAAAGGCATATGTCACTGCCTTTATTGTTGCATGTTTTAGAGAGTGTCAGTAATGGGCCTGAACACCACAGTAGGGTGTGTGGAAAGACTCCATGATGTAGGTCCAATCTCTGCATGTCTCTTAGCTCCCTGCCAGGGCTCCTTTCATAGGTCGACAATACATTTTTACTGAGCCTCAGAATCTGTCGCTGATTTCTTACCAATGAAATAAGATGAACAATCTGCCTGTATGATCTGAATGAATTATCTCTGTAAATACCTTGAGATGACATGTGTTATGAATTGGTACAATATAGTTAAACCATGTTGAACTGAAATAATTACAGGAGCCTCTAAATTTGGCTCCTGGTTAAACTGTGGAGGAAAAAAACGTATGTTCAAAATTTTTAAACTGAAGTTTAAGAAAACATCTTCCACCATTAGGACACAATTATACAGTGGCGGTAAGAATCTGTGGTACACTTTATAAAAATTATGGATGTTTTCATGACAACATGACCCCAACAGGTATGGGAGGGAGGTTTTCATCTCCAGTGTGTTTTATCACAAGTTGGGCTTAATGTAGGGGAAATGTGGTCTGACCCAACAAGAGAATATGCTTAAATAATCCTTTTCACAGCACTAACATCTTGAGGCCCGACTGATGGCGAGGGATGATCAAACAAGATATAGGAGGCATGTAGCCCATATTCATATTTCTTTAAGATTCTTTTGTTTTGGCTCAGGATCCTAGATCTTCTGTCTGATCTTTTGATGTGGGCCAGGTTGGATATAAAATCCTTCTTTGCTGATTAATCTCCATCAAAAAAAAAAAAAAAGAGATAGGGAGCAGGATCATTAACACTTTGGAAATGTAATGGTGAGGAGAAGATTCAAAATTTAAAAAAATGGACCTGTAACAAATGACACTGCATTCAACCGTAGTGCAGAGGGATGCAGTCTCTATAACAACCATTTAATGCTCTCTACATGCCAACCTGTTGTCTGAGAATAATGCCAAGACATTGACATCTCTAACTTGCTTCACCTCATGGAACACCATTCCCTCTCTTAGATGCTCACTGCACAAGGACATTTAATGCACCATGTCTGATGAGTATGTGCATCAGGATTTTGCCAAGAATGTGATGAGAACTAATTTAGAGAGTAGACTGTTTGCCTTTTCCAGCCAAGAGTTTTATTGGAGGACAGAACAAATCCTTATTACCTTTGCATAATTTAAAAAAGATATATTTTCATGGCAAAAATCAAGGTCAATGTAATAACCAGAAATGGTCACTTTCCCTAATATGTAAAAACCAAAACTGCTTTTATAAGCGAATTCATAGAGAACGCAAAAACACATTTTTTTTTTTGTCAAAACATAACCTTAGAACATTATTGCTGATACACAAACTTAAATGTTTTTTACTTTTTAATTTAGCTTGATAACTCAGTGTTTTTACTCAGCTTATCAACTTTTTTTCCACTTAATTTACAGTAGATAACGTTTTATCCAAGGACTGATCTTATTTGTCATACTAAAATTACATGTAGTGCCACTTATAAGGTTCTTTGCTGAATGGCTGCATAAGAATCTTGTGCTTCTGGACCTCAGAGGGATCGGGGGAGTGTAACTTTTTGCACAAGTCTTACCAATCAGTGTTGTAACTATTATTAAAATTTAATAATGTTGGACTTTTTCTTCACCAGAGCATAAAAATTTCAATGCACCTTCACACAAATCTATTCGAAGACCTTTTAGATACGTTTACCATTGATGCCAGTCATTATGGAGGGTTCTGAAGTGTACATTTATCTTCTTTCCCATGTATTTTAAGGTTATTATAATAAAGAAAAAAATAAGAAAGGACACAATTTTCTACATTCTGTTAAACAGCAATAATGCAATGCACAACACGATGCTTAAGAGTCGACAGGATGACTGCACCTGCACCCTCTGGAAGGAAGGATATGGATTCTGCTTTTATTCCTTTCCCTGAAGGCCCTGTGTGTTAATGCTGCTGTCATGTCCCAGGGAGAGAGAAGACTAATTACTGGCTGCTCAGTCTCCCTGACGGTGCCCCCCCTCTGAGAGACATGCTCGGTTAATTGGAGAACAAATCCAAAGAGGGCTAAGCTGAAGATGCGACTGACCTTAGCTTAACTCATTGTAAGAAACATAGTACTTTAAATATGTTTTTTTTAACCACTTTGCCTTATCTTTCCATTCTTTAGTGGGTTTTTTTATTATCTTTTTTTGAGCACAAAACTACAATCATAAAAAATGTATTTAAAAAGAATGTCCTTAGTGCTTCGGCATCTTAACATAGCATTAAGAACTCTAACAAACTGTAGATATTTTAATGAGATGTTGGATGTTGAAACAAGGAAAAAAAAAACTATTGTATTATCAGATCTAAGCTACAGCAGTAGAGCATGGGAATTAAGGGCTCCCAGAGTGCTTAATTCTGCTTTTTAGTATTCTGTTCACATACAACAGGATCTTCATTGAGTCTGAATAAGCCAGGCCATTTAAGGTAAAAATGTTTTTTTTATATGCATCTTAAATTATATTAAAAACTTGTAAAAGTATTAGGCAAATTACATATAAATCCTTTAAATGTTCTTCAAGATGTCATTTCATTGTGACATCCGCCACATTATTCTAACTCATTACTCAAAAGACATAAACAAATATGCATTTATCTGTTTTATTTTTTTCCAAATATTTTATTTCTTGAATCATAATTTACAATTAAACACAGGTGTGATAATAATCATTGAATTACTGTACACGTGAAAACAATGTAGGTGATTTATTTTCTTTAGGATGATATGGAGCTGATGTTAAATACAGTGAATACGTTGTCAGAATTTGTTGCAATGTGATGTAATGCAAAACTCACTGCAGGCTGCTGCCTGCCACCTGAGAATCATCAAAGGTCAAGTGCTCAGCTTGGTTTAATCATATACGTGTTATTCTTTGGTAATCTATACATTTCTCAAGTTAAATGTTCTTAAAAGTGGAGAAAATCATTCCAGTGAGGATTTAAGCCTCATTTGGTAAGGCAGGGACACTTGTCAGAGCTGGAATGAGCCTCTCGTACACATGGATGCCATTCAGGAAGACTTGCTCGTTCAGATACTCGTTATGGTCATGCAGCAGAATGGGGGTCCTGTTCATCGGAGAAAAGCCGATCGCAGGGATACCCACCTGGAGTCAAATGAGATTATTTCACTTCTGTGATATTATATCTTAACAAAAAAAAAAAAAAAAAAAGGCCTAAGATATTTTCACGATGCTTACCGCTCTGATGAAACGGCTGTCAGTGGCAGCTGGGAATATCTCCTTTTCCAAAGTCATATTCCTAAAGTGGAAATGATGGTGTCATACATAACAAATGCAAAGCATTTCCAGGCACCCTGATAAATAAATAAAATCACTCTTTGCCAAACACAGAATAAGAATTTATGAGCAACTGCAGCTGTACTGTGATGACTTGGGAATGCATTACAAGGGTCATCTAAACTGGAACATGGAGATGATACACAGAGAATATGCAGCTGTTGAGGTTCAGCTCTCTATGCAGGTAAAATAGACCTCTACAACTCATTAGTTTGAAGATAAACATGCTTTAAACCAGCAGAACTGATTTACAGGATAATTAGAGGATATAATACATGGAGGCTAAGGTTTTTATAACTATACTGCATTTAAAAAAAAGTTTTTGAGGAAAGATAAATAAATGTTAATGTGTTTGAATTAATTGAGTGCAAGCTCTTTTTTAAACATACTGTTCACACCCCCTGGAATTTTTCTTAATGTTTTTTAACAATAACTCAGCCACCTTTCACTTAAGCTATCATCAAGCTTCCGTGCCTTTAGGTGGATATCTGAGCACAGAATTAGAATTCAATTGAAGTGGTTCGACTCACATTGACTTGCAGGCAGTGCTAAAGGCACTCCACCAGGGGTCGCTCTCAGCTGTGGATGTGACATTCTGGTTCATGTGTTTCTGCATCAGACAAGAACAAAACCACCAAGAAGTGCATTACTGAGAAGCAGCCAGGAGTAGATCATTTAGATCAGCAGATTGTTAGTGTAACCTGGAGGACACTGACTGACCTGAGCAAACTCATAGGTGACATCATCTCCTGCATCCTTACACCACTGCTTGATCTGCTTTTCAAACTCCTGATGGAAGTTTTAGAGTTTGAACACAAAGGTTTTGACTCTGGGCTGTTCATGTGAAGAACTTAACACACACACACCTGGAGGTTTACTGTGGGGGGGATTCTTAAGTCGAAGCTTGCATCCATTTCAGCCGGAATGACGTTGTAGGCCACACCTCCTCTGAGCATGGTCAAATTCACGGTGGTGACGTCTCCAAGGGTGAAACACTCGCTGGTGTTTAAGCTGGCAGACACAATGAAGACAGCCAGAATCATAAGATTTAAAAAGAACAATTATGACTGCGGCAGAAGGCCAACTAGTCATGTGAACAAACAAGTACATCCTACAGCCTGACAGTTTTCTTAACATATTTGTACATTTTAATATTCAGAAGAAATAATCTCCTACATAAAATGGCTACAATCACACACAGACCTGTTAAAGCACGTGGTTTGTTTATAACAACTTTAATCAGCAGTTTGAAGGAAATGTGCCTCACACTATTAAATTAGCCCAGACTGATGGAAGGGGGGAATCCATGACAGGTGGAATTGTATTAACTGTTTGATCTTTGAAAAGAAGATTAGATGTCTGGAAAGAGAGCTAAAATAGTCAGACAGATAATAATTAAAGATTAGTCATTTCACTTTGTGGAAAATTGTTTAAAAGTAGAAGGCATTCCAAATTGCCAACATGCTCAGGTCTGGATGTCCAAGCAAATTCACTCTGAGAGGGTATAGGAGGATATTTGAAAAGGCTCAAAAAACACAGGAAAAAGTCCTCTTAGGGACTCCTTAAGGTTGTTGATTCTGTTCAAATGAAAGTTTTTGCCTCTAAAATAATTAAGAGATCACAGGTTTGACTATGGTGTGCTGGTATCTGCTACAGAACAGTTTAGGGTGTTGAACAGATGAGCACACATAAAGTCACAGGTATTTCCTTCCAGAAACATAGAGAACTGATAATATATTAGACTACAAGGAGTGTTCTATTTTACAGTGGGATTCTTGGCTATACGTTGAATCGCTGCCGGACGAGGCGAAGATGGAGGGCTAAGGCTAGGGCTACATCTGGTCTAAGACCCACTCCCAGTCAGAAGTCATTGCTCACTAATAAAAAGTTCAACATTAATCAAACTGCACTCGCGCCTTGCATCTTGTGTTAGTCAGTCTGGCTGGCCAGGCTACACAGAGCCACCTCCTCGTTTTGGGGCTTAGTGTCTTCAAATAAGATCAGTGTTTGAAAAGGAGTTTTTAACTTTGCACCTAAAGCAACCTTTGAAACATAACCGTTCTTTTTTAATCCATCTTATAAAAATAGAACATTTTATTATTCATCATATATTTTATAGCTAAAATCAATCACTTAACACCTCATTCCTTTAAAGAAAAACGACCTAAACCATCTTACCGGTTTTTCTCCTTCTCTCTAAAGTCCAGAAAAGAGTTGATGACTTGTCGCTGCAACACAGAAAAGAATCTGATTTGTTTTGTCTCAATAAACTTTGTGATGAGACTTCTTTTGTTCCAAGAATTTTATTTACTGTAAATCTTGCAAGTCTTTGCTTTGACACAACTGCAAACTATCTAAAGGAAATGTATGTGAGAGAAATGCATCTAATTACAATTGCTTTGCTATACAGACATGGACAAAATTGTTGGTACGCAACGTCAAACTGGTTCCAGAAAAGGCTGTGTGGCTGCTGGTGTTCTTTCCAACCAAGCAGTAGCATACCAGACTACATCTCATCAAGTAAGTTCAGTGTTAACCTGATGATTTGATGAGATGACTGGAGTCAAAACCAGTTTATCACCAGTATAACAGAGGCTAACTGGAGAGGGTAGAAGGACAGACAGAACACTGAAGACGGGGTAGAGGCTATGGTTGGCTGGGAGTAGGACAGCAATACACTGGAGAAGCCTGGCAGGTAGAAAGCAGGAAATGACTACAGCTAGCCTCAGCTAGCCTCTGGAGGCAAACTGCGAAAAAGATGGAATGAGTACAACAGGAAATCATCGCAGCCTGCAGGGCAGAGAGAGCGGCGATGCGGGGAAGAAAGGGCATCAGCTGGTCTGTATCTGAGATGGAGGTAGGATGACAAAACAGTTCTAGAGCTAAAATCAAATGGCTTTTCTAAAAGCCACCTAAAAACATCTTAAGGGCATTCCCACATTATCCTTTGTCAGCATTACTTTCTCTATCCTGCATTTTAATAAAAATAAATATGGCATGCCACAGTTTTAATTTGTCGTGTTTTTGTCATTTGCAAATTTATTACACCTGAAACTGTCAACTGGGTTTAATAATCCCTTTTACAGGAAAATCCTGTACCTAATCAAGGAAAACGACCAGCTCAATATTATCCCCTATTTTCCCCTATGGTTCGTGGTGAATTCTTGGAGCCTCGCACTGAGTCCGCAGCTCGGCATTTCAGATGCACCGTGTTTACGTCCTGGACCGCGTCATCAAATTGGAGGAGCTTCAGCTGCGTGAAGCTGACACCTCACCCATGTGAAAAAAACATGCTCAGCAAATAGACTGAATGGTTTGTGATTCATTGGTGCAGGTTTTATATTTAATTTGATCATTTCTGAAATCAAAAACACAATAATAATAGAAAAACAATGTGTGTTACTTTATTTCAGAGATATTAAAGATTATTTTTTAGATCACCCAGAGGTCAACCAAAACCCCAATACGCTCAATTTTAATTTAATCAAAAGTATTTTATTTTTCAGTGCTGTTTGATTGGTGCAGGTAAAACTGTCGTCTTCAATTTGGATCTGCTGTTAAACCTAACAACCCCCCCCACCCCCCACCCCAAAAAGTCATTGTGGCTTTAAGTCGAGGGTCTTTTGATAGAGGGTGAGGGCTTTTGTTATTGAGTAAGGGCTACTGGTTGTAAGTAGGGGGTGTATTGGGATAGGACCTTTATGGGAGATGACCAAAGAGGACAGCGTTTTTGAAAACAAATCACAAAAGCCAGACTTTACTACTTTTGTCAGATCCAAGTTAAACCTATGACTATTTTAAAGTTTTCTTTAATTAAATGAGGGGTACCAACAAGCTTGTCCACATGTCTATATTAAGAAACTAAGTACTGTGGTTTCAATTGAAATGGATGTAATAAAATAAATGTTGATTATATACCCGAATCAAATCAAATTGAACTCTTGTAAATAGAAAAATAGATTAATAATTATCTCTCTGTTTAGAATTATTTATTAATCATTAACTACTATGAGCATGTTTTCACACAACATTATAAAACAATGGGCAAAAATAAAGCTTCTTACCAGCTTTTCTGCAGCTGTATTTTCCACAAACCTTGAACCATGACCAGGACTTCCCGGACAGCGGACAGTAATCCCTGGAAAGGAGAAGTCATTTTTACAATCCATCTGTCAAGGTTTATAGCAACAATAAATCTTCTACTGTTCAAGCATTGTTTTTTTATTGTTAATACTCACACCAAGGATTCCTTTCTCCATAAAATACAGTGAAAGCCTCACCAGGATTGGCAAGACCTTCAGGACACATAGAAAATAACATCAACATCAGAGTCATGAGGCTTAAAGAAAATGTGTTTGTAGTAGAAATAGCAGCAACAGTTACACTATTGACAACTGATAGAATGCAAAGTACTTGAATATTTATCATATTTTAAATCTAAAATAACATTTAGGATGTTATTGTTAGATTTCAGGGATCAGATTTCAGTGATCAAACCAAAAACAGCCATTTTCTACAAATTAATATGTAAATAGGTTTCAATTTGGGCTCATTTTAAACAACCTTAGAATGCAAACCAAATTACAATTTGAAAGTTTTTCTTCTCACAAAGAACACTAGCCAACCAGTCAATCAGATTGATTGATCCATGTTTCAAGGTAATGAATAGTCTAAATAAAAAATTCAAGACTTATCCATGTTATACTCTAATTTCCAGCCTTGTCCAGGTCTGAAACATACCTAGAAAAATGTCTAATCTTTTCAGGCTCTGTAGAAGGCCTACCTTATGAGGCTTAAACTTCTTTCAAAGATTTCTAAAACCCCTCACTACTGCAGCCCAAAATGTATCAGACTTATATTACTGGTCCACACAGACAGTGAATAATACCACCATTAGCTAATTTTCAGATGCTTAGTTCGATTGTAATTACTTCATAACAAATTTATAGTAATGCAGAACTATATGTGTCCTATTTGTATATAAGTCCTATTTGTACCGGGTAAACATCATCTGTGATCATTTCCAGAGATGATGTTACGGAAATCCCCTCGGAAATAATTTAGGGATAAAATTTAATAATTCAAATTTAACTTGATGAGTTCAAAAGTACTTGTTTATCTGCTGCTTTAATCACTCTCTGTCTTTATTAGAACTAGTATTACAGGATTTTTACCTCTGCAAAGGAGTTTATGCTTTAACCAGCACTGGTTTCTCGGTTTCTTTGTCAAAATCAGAAGTGTGCCATATGTATAGGAACAATCCATGTTTGTTTGTTTTTTATGATCCAGATCATAATCTCATAATAGAATTTTTTTCAAAGACTAACATTGTGAGATAGGGGTAGTTCATGGAGCAAGCAGTTCCCCCCCAAGCCAGAGGGTGGCAGGAGCAACCATTTACAGCAAGGTATTTACTGAAGACAAAAACACAAGAAAAGGGAACATTGTTGGTTTGTTAGCTGTAATGCAAGGATATAAAAAAATATTGTAATGCAGTGCTATAGATTAACTTTACATTTAAAAAGAGCAGTTTGTTGATACGGGGCAAATATACTCTAATTAGCAGCTTTTGTTATCATCCAGCTGGCTCTAGAGGGCATTAAAGAAAAGTTTCAGGCCAGTTTGAATCATTAAAATACTGTGGAGATTGCCAACATTCAACCTGTCATATCTTTCTTTCATTTTTGATTCTCCATTAGCTTGATGTTAATGGAAAGCTTAAACTCCACTGTTTCATGATCTGTAAACAACTTAAAACTTCCTACATAGTGTTGTTCCTGGTCTTGCCAAAGCCTGTCAAACAGATTTAATGATTCTAGAGGGATGAATGTGGCCTTGTCTTTACAAGTACCATAACTCCACCATCTTTTAATCTGCTGGTTTAACGTGCTCTGCTATCACACTCCTAAATACTGAGACTATTAATTTTGCGGCACTGCAGTGTAGCCAGTTGATTTCAGAGACAATAACCTTAAAGTTATAGTTGTAGTGGCCCTGGTGGATAAAGTTAGGCAGTGTTGTTTTTTTTTTGTTTTTTTTTTAAAGCAGTCTTATTCTCTGTATAAGCGGCTGGTGTTCATACTCCAGTTCCAGGGCCAGTACTTTAGCTGCACTATCTTTAACATCCATCACTTTTGGGCGGTATTCTTAATACATTCTTGCAAGTCATCCAAAACTATTGACAATATTCATGTGATTTATGCCAAATTTCACAATTTATCTTTATTTTTTTCCCTCCCGTGTCATAACTAAAACTTGAAGCATCACATATTCCAACAATCCAAACAAATCTGAAAACTACGCAAATCAATGTTAGTCATACTATTCTGTCTGTGTGGAAAAGTAGCATGGCACATATATATTTTGACAGGAGATAGTACTGGAAGCCCTCTACAAGTAAGATATAGGCCCCGTGCTTTAAACAAAAAAAAAAAAAAAGTAAACCTCACTAAATCTCAACTATAATAGATCTTAACTGGTGAGAACTATTAGAAAACAAATGGCAGAAATAAAAAGAGCCGTCAAAGGGCTTTTCCCAACTGGATGAAAGGCCTGTATAAACCCGAGAACTGGGTTAACCCATGTTTTTCAAACACTAATTTCGGTGGGAAAGAGGTTTAAAAGGCCCTACATTTTTTTTTTAACTATTAGCAATCTCATTTATTAAATAAAAGTTAGTAAAGTGTTCTATAAGCATCCTTAATAATAAACACTGTAAAATGTTTTTTTGTGGATACAGCTTAAACCTAGAAGCTTATCCTAAAGGGCCTTTCACACAGGATGCAGTCTTCACTGCGCTTGCTGCAGGTTCAGCGCAGCGGCGTACTAACTCGGCACTGCACTGCTGCTGCTCAGGCTGTTGGGTTGGCAGAGAAAATATGCATCTGATCTGTGCTAAGAAGCGAGTGCTAGCTCTGGCCATGCTAGTCACAAATAAAAAGAGCATCAAGGAAGAAAAAGCTGTGGGTGCATGAGACCATGATCCAGGGAGCAGCTTGGGAAGTTCAGCCTTGTTTAAGAGCTTTGTTTTCACAGTGACCCTTTCCAGGCCTATTTTCAGCGATTGTGAAGCAGGTCAAAGTTCAGCTTGACCGTGGGTTAAAAAGGAGCTCCCTTGGTTTTCGCTTTGCTAGATGCAGAGGCTGCCATTGAAAATAATGGGATTCACAGCGCAGCACACACCACATCCTGTCTAAAAGGCCCAAAGATATGCTTTTTTTTTTTTTTAATATAATGATGATTTAAGAATTGCATAAAAAAAGAAGTACAGATACCTTCATCCAGTGCAAAGCCAATGTTTAATTTTTTAAACTCTTGATGTGTCACAAATGTTTCCATCCCCTTGTGGCCTCCGACTTCCTCATCTGAAAAAAAGGTCCCAAAGTCAAGCTGTTAAAATTCTCCAAACAAAAAAATTTCACTAAATGAATGTTAAGAATTAAATAGTTTTCTCTTATTTTTGCCTCAGTAACGGTTACATTAATATCACCCTTGGTACTAAAATGCAGGAAACATTAACGCAACTTCACCTGTTTATTTCCGTAATATAACTTCCTAGAAACTCAACAAATTCTGTAAAATTATTCCTACACCACTGATAAGATCATATCAAAGATAAATGGTGATATTTTAAAACTGCTCTTTGTGCAGTTTCCTTTCATTTTATCTTCTTTCCTGGTGTAGATTTCTCCATAAGCTTTGGATTATTATGCAGCTGAAGGTTCCTGTGAAATCTACAGTCCTCCACGTGTTGATGGTATGTTTTCATTTTGAGTTCATAAAGCCTTTTCACTCTCTAGTGCGAAGAGTACCTTCCAGTCTCTATGTTACATTATATACGTATTCCAGGGAACCAAAACACAGAGCATAAATTCAAAAATAAAACTTAAATAAAATGTTGATCATCTAAACAAGGTAAAGTATCAAATTTGAAAAAGGCTTTCTAAGCTTTACCTCTGCAGGGACCCTTTGGGGTAACAACTGGGTAACTGGTAATTTTACAGAAAAGAACATACTTTTTTCCTGAAAAAATAAATGCTCTCAAATTTAAGATTACATTTTCTGGACATTATCCTAGTGTAATCATAGACTCAATCAAATGAAGAGTCATTCAAAGGTTTTAATTGCAAAACTTCAGAAAATTTCACCTGGCTGGGAATAAATGAGACCAGTGCTGTAACAGAATGGTTATGACATGATGTAGACAAACCTAAGGCCGAAACACACCAGAAAATAGGATAGGAGGAAGTCCTAGATTTTACAATTGGTTTATGTGAATAGTCTCTGGCTCACAGTCCGGATTAGCTGCAACTGTGTCTCTTTAGGAACGGCTGAGGCAGACCCCGGTCTATCTTGGTTGGACCTAGGGGTGGGCGATATATCAGATATACTCGATTTATCTCGAGTTTCCCCACACACGGTAGTTAAAATGACTCTCGCAACCACCAAGTACAAATTCGCATGACGACATTTAGCCATTTGCATCTATTTCACTGAGTTTTGTTTTTCCCACACTCTTTAAATGCATCATAAACCCCTCCTCCAAACAGGATTATTTTATGCACGGCACGCACACTACAGCAACCGGCCAATGAAATACGGCAACAGCAGGTGTTTCAGCAAAGCAATATATGGCAGTGGTTTGGATTTCACTTCAAGGACATCAAACAAGCAGCAGTAATTTGTAAGACGTGACGCAAAACCTTTGCTGTAAAAGGTAGCATCACCAGTTAAAACGTTAAATAAATCAGCTGTGAAGCTGATGACGTTGACCTCGTCGTTTGAAAAAGCGATTCCATATGTGGGAAAAAGGAATAGATGGAGGGAAATAGCAAACGCTATTTATTACGTTATTTAAATGTTTTTTAGATGCACTAATACCTGTGAGGTGATGTGGTCTTGTTCAGAGGTTTTTCAGGTGTTTTCCAAATTTGGCAATGTTCTCAATTTTACCACTTTTTGTGCTTCTTTAAAATTCCCAGCACATTAAGATCAATCAAAAAGTTTTTAGATGTTTTTAAAGGTAATTTAGACATGTTGTGATATATATCGTGTATCCTGATTATAGCCCAAATATATTGGGATATTAGATTAGATTTTCTTTATATCGCCCAGCCGTAGTTGGACCTAAGCAACAATTTGACAGTATTCCAAAGACTGCCAGGTGGAGAGACATGTCAGCAAAACTAAACACATCCACAATAGGAAATCCACCCATGAATAGCTCTGAATCGCAAGAGAAACCAGTTCTTCCCCATAGATGTTCGTCATGAAACCTGCAGCCAGTGATGGGAGTAACGGCGTTACTAACGCTGTTACCTTTTTTAATAATGAGTAATCTAACTAATTACTTTGTAACTATAACACAGTTACCATTGCCGACACCCCGTACTGCACGGTACTCAGGTCGCACAATGAACCTTTTTTTCATGATAGGACTCGTGCACGCCTGAGAGAGGGGAGGATGTGATTGGCTGATGTGTAGTGAGACTCCATCTGTCAGTTGGGTAAGTGGGTGATTCTGCTGGCGGGTGTTAACGTACAGCATACATGCTTACATGTTTATAGGCCTGTCAGATAGCGTTCCCCCTTGATGTCATTTACGTTGAGTTGCAATAAATGCAAAACTCTCTGCAGGTTCTTGTCTTTGTCATCCACTCTATTCAGCTGGCTTTTGAAACACATGGCGAGAAGGTGGCGGGTGGTGGTGAGGGTTACGGGGGGCAAGAAACAGAAAAGTAACATAATAGTTACTTTTACTAGTAACTTTTATTGTGGATTAACTCAGTTAGTAACTCAGTTACTTTTGGGAGAAGTAACTAGTAACTATAACTATTTACTTTTTCAAAGTAACGTGCCCAACACTGCATGCAGCACACGTTTCCTGCATATATAGCAAGCAGGTCAGTCTTTTTACTCATGGTGGGAACTTAGGAGGACAGAAACCAGATAAAGTGAAACACAACCTTCTTGGAGCAGTGGGTTCAGCTTTACATCCACTGCCCAAGCTTGATTATGCTTGGACAGTCGGACTCAAGCAATGTGTTTCGGCCTTAAGCTCCTAAAGTTGACGGACCGCTGATGTGGAACCAGTCAGTAAACTCACCGGGAACAAACATCAAATGCACAGTGCGTGTGGGTCTCCATCCCTGTGCCTTCAGTCTTCTGACAGCCTGTATGTACCTAAACAGACAACACCTTACTCAGCACACTCTGCGACAAAGAAAAAAAAACCTGTGCATTAACACAGTGAAGATCATGGCTTTTTATACCCACTGTATAGTCACACATTTCATGTCCTGTGATCCACGAGCATAAATGTTACCCTCAGCATCTTTGGTAGCACTGAAAGCATCATATTTCCAATGCTCCTGGAGAAGAGATTGATACCAGGTCTATCTTTTAATCAACTGTTTTTTTAGTAAACAGCAGGACAGGAAAAATTCCCTAAAAAAGGGTTTAGTTCAAACCTGATAAACAGGAACAACATCAGTGTGGGAGTTCAGTAAGATGGATTTTAGGGTGGGTTTGGTTCCTTCCCATGTCATGATCACCACAACTCTGCCCTGACAGACCTGAGAGCAGACAGACAGCTGGATTAACAAACATCTGTCCCAATCTTAAGGCATGCTCACATCGGATCTTCACATCATGAAGTGAATCACCTCAATCTTTTTCATGGGCAGCTGTAGCTCCTCAGCTATTCTGTCCAAGAAACTGAGAGCAGAATCTGGAAATGAATAAACATGGATGAGAAAGACTGGTTTAATTATTAAACTATAACAACTCATTGCCGCTGCTGGTTATTTACTGCTGTGGGACTTCAGCATCATCACAAAAAAAGAAATAAGATTTCTTGGTCCACTTCTGGATTCTTTACAGACTTTTAATCCAAATAAGAGGAAATAAGAGTTTCCTAAATTTAGGTGATCAGCTAAAACACAGTTCCTGATTTTCCAGTTTTAGAAATAGCTACAGCTAAAGCATTGTTTGTAATATGTTTGTGCTGTAGGACAATGATACTGTTTTGCTACCTTAATTTTCACATCAGAGACCGGTAGTGATGGAATATTTTCTCTAAAATAGACAAGAAATGCAATGTTTTCATATTTGAAGTGTCAAGAAAAAATATATAAAAAATAAATCACATATATTATTTATATTGATATTTGTATTTCTATTAATATTTGTATTATTTTTTGACAGCTTCCCCGCTAAAATGCTCTTGCAAAGTATATATTTTATCCTTTAACGTCGGAGCCCAAATATGGGAGGGGCTCGCACGGTAATTAAACAGCCTCATTTTAAGGTTGTCGATTCCTGGTGGCCTTTATTTAGAACATTGAGACAGCTAAAGGGGATGGTGTGAAGAACCGTACCTCAGACAGCTCATCAACAGCCAACATCCACCGTATATGGGGCACCAACTCTACTACAACAGAACATAGTGCCCTGACAGATGTATTTCCTTAACAATGATCCCCCTTCAAACTAATAAAATAACTTCACTTTTGTATTTTTTTCAGTGAAGGAGTAGAATATATCTACTGATACTGAGTCACACTGCCTCCTAGAGTTTAAATAGAGGATGAACTTGGTAGATTTTCGGTTTTACTTTGCTTCGATTTCATAAGAAAAATATTTTTGGACAATCAAATTCATATAAAAACAATAAATAACTTTTTCAATTTAATATTATATTTCAAGATATTCATAAACCAACCATGTACATGATTAGTCTTGGATTGTGTGACACAAGATCTAAAAAAAGATGAACTTGGTGCAATGGGTGGGGAGATCTCTGTTTTTTATTTTTATTTTGAAAGAACAGATTTCATTATAATGGTTTAAGGTGCGGGGCATCATCATCATGAAACTTGTTTTGTTCACTCTTACTGTTGCACCAGTCATCTACAGTATCTGCATTCATTTATTATTCGTTATTATTTGAGAAACTTTAGCGAAGACATGCATGGATTAAACACCCACTACTACATTAAGGAGCAGTTTTCAAACGCCTAGTGCATAGATTATTCTGCTCTGCATTTAGTCACATTGATTTAAAGCAGAAGATGCCTGATGAATTATCTGCTCTTTGGAAAGAGAAAACCAATTCAAGCAAAAAGCAGCCAGCTACCTTATCGTGGATGGCAATAAATTGGGGAAGGTCAGTTCAGCATATTTCAAGCTCCATTCAAATCAGAGATTTAGGCACCATCGTTTTATTTAAAGGCCTCCAAACCTCAAAATTAAAGGTTTTAAAACCATAAATGGCTACAACATTTCTTAATTTTAACACAAGTAACCATCCTATGATTATACATTATACTATATATGTTATACTTTACAGCTACTTCCAGGTTTCTGGTGTTTGTCTGAATCCATTTCAGGATTACATGTTTTCACTTTAAGTGTAAACTTCAGCTTTGTGCAGAACTGTCAGCATTTAATGAGTAACGGACGTAGATAAAAACTGGACTTTGTTAAAAGGACCAGGTGATACATTATCCAATACACTTAAAACACAATAACTATTACATATATTAACAAAACTTTTATACTGCATAATAAAATCAAGATATTAAAGGTGAATTAAAAGTTTCCATGGTATTTTGAAATATCTGACATTAGTTTCCTGCGGTATAAGGAGTCTCACCATAGTCAGGCTCTGGGTGGACGGTTTTAAGACGAAGGTATTCCCTGAACAGAGCCACTGAGGGGTCCTCTCCTTCAGGGGAGCCCTGACCCCCTCCAACATCCGGACCGTCCTTGTCGGGTAGCATGCTGGGATTTGTTTATCCCCTTAAAGATATGAAATACATTCACGGTAAATTGTGACAGCACATATGAAATAGTCCCGTTCACTTAAACACACAAAGCGCTGTACCCGGTTAAACCTGTGTCCCAATGGAGCTGCTGGTAACGCACCTGCCTTCAGCTCTCAGCAGCACCTTTATTAAAGTCATGCTAGAAGCGGCTAGCCTGCTTTAAAGTAACCTGAGCCGCTACAGCGGTAGCATCTTCTTAGCTGTACATTAACTACCCTAGTTTGCCCTTAAGAAATACGAACTTTCAGCGCAAGACGTCAAATAGATTTATATAATTTAACTTCTGGATTAGTTGAAATAACTAACTATACTTACCAGAGGCAGACAACCCGCAGACACAATCAAAGTCAGCCTGTAGGGGGGTTTCACCTAATTGTTGAATAACACTTTGCGCTCTTAAAGAAAATAAACATCAAAGGGTTAAGATTTTTAACCCGTTTATATCAATAATGATAACCACAATAAACGAAAGATTTTCTACAGGATTTTCAAACGCAAAGAAAACATGACCCTACTTTGGACGATACCATTTCTCAACTGTGACGCATTCAAACCCTCTGTGGCTGTCGGCAAGCCATTTTATCATTAAATTGTAAAAGTCCCTGTGCAACTTCATAGAGACGTCTCAGTTTAGGGTTTATTTTTAAGTTTCAGTTCAAAACGTATATAGTATAAACTATATATATATATATATATATATATATATATATATATATATATATATATATATATTCATTCAGTGCTTAACATGTACGTTTTGTAATTTTATACACTAGTGTGACATTCAAGGTCGGTACTAAAAAAAGCAACTACACCTAAATATTGCAATAGTTTATTTACTGTTTCAATGTTTCAACATTTATTTCAACTCATAAAAATAAACATACCAGTTAAAACATGTTGACAAAATAAATAAAAATATTTGCACAATGTCCCAAATGTTGCCAAATTCCTATCAAACATGAAGCATACGACTGTATTTATAGAACTAAAGGGAAACACATTTTTTCAACAGTAGTGATAAAAAAAAAAAAAACATCAGTGTGAACAACAACAAAATTTAATGTTGCAAAGAAAAATCCCTCTCTGCTAAATTACTAGATTACAAAAACAAAAAAGCATCATTAAGAAAAAGCTTGGAAGTATTTCTTAACATTTTGCATAACGATAAACAATGCATTAGTTTGTTGTTTTTTATGTCAAGCAGCATTAAGACATATTTTTTATTTTTTTCTCTTGATTGCAAAGACTTTATTGCAACTTTATTAACATGTAAATATCTTAGCTTCAGCTTTTTAACCCAAATGATCATATATTATACAGAAGCTGTGTTAGGTGTCTGCTTTAATGTGTGCAAAAACTTTTAAATACAGCCAACAACAACATTTACATATTTACAATTGTCCACCAAGTTATAGCATATGAGCAAACACATCACACAGCTTTAAAAGCAACCAGAGACGGGACACACAAATAAACATCCAACTACACACAGCAAGCTTTGCTGAACTGGTCTCATATTACCCGGAAAATTTAACCTAAACATATTACATTCATAATACTCACATATGATATGATATCTCAAATCCTGTCAGACACATTTAATCTTCTTTCCAGGTTTGATAAGAAAATAAACAAAATGTTTTTATCAATAAAAAAAAGAAAAAGAAAAAAAACAGATAATTTTTAATTTTCCTTGGTCATCTTTTGATGACAATTCCATCATCCTGTCTTCCGCTGCTATATTTCTTGTTTGAGTTTGTCGAGGAATTTGATCAAACCTTGATGGAACTCTTGGGGTTTGTCCATATAACAAGCATGCCGAGCTCCTTCTAATTTCAGCACGTGATGATTGGGAAGCTGGATGAGGTTCTTGTGAGACTGGGCGCCCAGGTTTGTGTCCAAGGCCCCAAAAACAATCAGAGTGGGAGTCTGCAGAGGAAACAAGTGCAAAAAAAAAATAAAAAAATTTAAAAACAGAAGAGGGAAATTAGACAATGTAAAAGTTTGTATTATTAACCAAGTCTGGCACTATTTTCTCAAGATAAAGAATATTAGAGTGGAAAGGGACTGGTTCAATTCACAAAATAGACAGGACAGATGGAAAGAGCATTATGTAAATCCTGAAGTAACATCTCAACACAATGACCTGGAAGTTAAACCTTGGGTTCAAATTGGTCTACCAAATGGCTGGCGACATTACCTTAACATACTACCAAATTAAAAAAATGACCAAATAGAGGCTAAAGGACATCAAAGTCTAAATGCTTTGTAGTGATCAATACAGCCTAAGCCTCAGTCATAGAAAACATGTGGGCGGAGCAGTAAAGGTGTCTGCAGGGGAAGGTAGTCTGCAAATCTGACTAAGTTAGAGCAGTTCTGTCAGGTTGAATCGGCCAAAAGTTCAGCAAATAAGTGTGGGGAAAACCCTCATATTTATTAAAATCTAATTCATAGTACAGAGAGAAAAACAAAACTTGAGACAACAACAAAAAAAAAGCATTGGTCTGATTTAATGACAAATAAAAGTTTAGTTATTAAACATGCTATGGTAGGAGATAAATATTGGTTTCTTTGTGTCTTGCTGCATGAAAATGTATTAAAGCTTCCCATTGGGATACAATATAATGAAAAAAGGAAGAAGACTAATGATTAAAAAAAGATTTGTATGATTTATTCTGACTCTTTTATATTGTAGGGTCTGAAAACCTGTTATCTAATAGAACACTGACCAAAATGTTTTTATTTATTTATTTTTAACTTTTTATTGAAGTTATCTATGATGTTTGTTAATATTTCATTCTTAAAAAAAAAAAAAAAAAAAAACTACTGCAAAAAAAAAAAAAAAAAAAAAAAACAGGCCCACCAATATGACATTTTAATTATTGAAAGTATTTTTCAGTGTTTTCAAAAAAAATTGTGGCATAATGTTTTCTTTCAAATGATATCTGTAGTAAGTGGATAAGATTACAAAAGCTTGCAATCTTACCTGGATCTTTTTGTATTGCTGAGCAGAGTAGCTTCTCGTACCAACTGGTGCTATAGGAACGAAACCGCGCAGCTGTTCGCTGTTCTTCACAAGGAAGGGGATGGAGTAATGTCCACTCATGGAGGGACTCAGAAGCACAGCAGCCCTGACACCCAGAGACTCCATGAAGCGTGACAGGAGGACCACCCGATTCTGCTCCGTCTTTAGAGCTTCAGAGTCTGGTGATTTCCCATAACCTTGATATAGAGGATTTACAAAAGATAACTATGATAATCACTAAAATGTTGATATGAAATAAGGGAGTTTAATTGAGAAATCAAGCAAAATACATAATCTACTTTTGTACCATTTAAATAAATCAGGAAGATATTAATTAATTTTACTTTGGCTAACATGATAACATAGACCTGAGTCACTGATTAAATGAGGAAGTAAGAACTACACTCAACCACTAGAGGGCACTATTATCAAAGGAAAAAACATTTTCAAAATCAACCAGTGTATATAAATTCCACTATTTATGAAATATTGCTAAGAATGATGGATCCTTTCAAAAAGTAAATGTTTCCAAGTCTCTTCAAACTTTAAAAAATAGACCTTGAGTTAGTCAGGGCAACACAAGGTTGAGATCAAATCAACAAGTATATAATGTGTTTTTATTTAAAAGTACCCTTAAAACTAACATAAAGTATACCAGATTGATTAAAGTAAGCTTCAATGTTCACCTGGCAGATCCATTGCTAAGGCCTGATATCCATTAGCTGCCAGCACAGCCATGGTTCCCAGTTCTTCCCAGGTTTTGGAGGTAAACGCCTGGCCATGCAGAAGAACCAACTGCAACCTGCACAGAAACATCTGTTTGTTACCCTGGATGTCAAACCTGGTCAACTGAAAGACCGTCTGCTCAAATAGTTGATGCACAAGATGCTAACACTTATCAAACATCTTTTTTCCAAAGGTCGTCTCACTTTGGCAGTATCTGCTGGCCGTCTCGATCCACAGGCAAGGCTTCTCGGAAGAACAGTGGGGGGTCTCCAGGAAGCTGTCCGGTGCGAATGGACACATTGAGGACCGGTGGTCCGGGTGGAGCAGCGACTGCCACCATTCCAGTTCTTTGAGCTTTGGCCTGTAGCTCCATGGTATCCTGGCGAATGGACGGCAGCAGCAGGTACAGCATAAGCGTGGCCAAGAACACCAGGCCGAGCAAAACCAGGCGATTGCGCAGAAAATTCATTTCAATGTGATGAAGGACCTGGAGGATGTTATAGATGATGTGTTAGATGAAGCTTAAGCACCTTTGCAGAACATTGCTAATTTTGTAATATTTCAAAACCTAATGGACACAGAAAATCTGGCTGAGCTTTAAATTATGCTGTATGATATTAGTTAAAACTTGCTTTAAAGGATTTTCGTGTAGCTAATCAAATATATTTGACTGATGATCTTTATCACATGTGACATTTGTAAAAACATTTTGTCAATTACAGTTGCTGGATCATTTATGTCAATATATTTATATTCATGGCAGCAAAACCCAAACAGATTCTTTCGAAGTTGATTCCAAGAAAAGTCTATTCTTTCTAAAAAAGAGTCACAGCACAATTTGTTTGCAAACTTTGGTCTAAATAAAGGATAATTATTTATGTAGCCTGCCTGATTTCTGAGATGTTTTGCTATAATCCATAGCATCAGCTCACACTAACTTGTACAGCATTGTGAGAGGGTTTATTTGACTGCCCCAGGCCCTTAATAATCATAATAGTCATGATATCAGGATGAATCACATTGTGATGCTATTGCTACGTTATGTTGATGATGTTATTAATTATAAAATCCCATTTCTCTAGACTCCTTTCTTTCTTTTCCTTCTCTACCATGTCCCTAATTACATTCATTTAGCATCTCAGCAATTAAAACCATGCATAAATGAGGGCAGTAAAAGACCATCAAAAATACTAGATGTTGCTAAAAAGGTGGAATTTACATGCATAACAATCTTATCAAATATTGCATCCAAGCAGTCATATGCAGCTGCAATGTTGCAAACTTGGATAAGGTCTGAAGATTACACTTGGCTATATTTAGCAGGTGTAGTGAAATGTAAGGCAAACCGTCCAACAGGTATAGCCATTTGAACACAGAACTATGATACCAAATGTAGATAGAGATCTACATTTGGTATCATATGTAGACAGAAGTCTTCAAGATGATAGCTTGGAAGTAAAAAAATGAATCAAATTGGCCCAGTCAAATTCCAGATATTAACCTGGTTCTTGAGAGGACATCAAGAAAGCCTAAAACTAAACTGTGAGACTGATAAGAGTCACACAGAAAACAAGTCTGATAAGTTATTATCAACAAGTCAGCTTGTTGATCCACCTGTCTGGTATGACAGGTGGATCAACAAGCTGCCTTAAAATAGGTAGAAGTTTTTACATACCTGTTTTTATGATTACACGTTTTGTTTCATTGTTTAAAAAAAATAACAATATACAAAGAAGGACAGCCACTTTTCTTCGCAGAATCGTGATGGAAAAACTTTGATTTCGATGCAGAGAATTAAAAAATTACAAAGAGGTGCAAAGATAACAACAAAGCTCTCATCAAATATTTTTCATTACAAGCTAAATATTGCCACAACACAAACATCCAGTCATCTTTACACACATTCAGCAGGGATTCTTATTCATCTTAATGGTTGTAACTAAATGTGGGAGCAGATTAATGATGATCCATCATAATCTGCTCGAGTAGTATTATTATAAGGTATGACTTCTTATAATGTATGATCATTTCTAATCTGAACCACTTGAAGGTCAAGTAAGTATACAGCATGAATACAGTTGTCTATCATTTGCATCACTTTCTGGAATTGTTTGGTTTAAAAGCTTTATACGCTGAAAAAAATATATGATTTTTTTTTCTTCTTTTTTTTTTCTTCCTTCAGCTTTAATTTGTTATTTTATAACGATGTCAATCTTTACTACGTTCCTATAAGTTTCAAATATTTTTTCAATATTTAAATTTATTTACGTCTACACTGGAGTAGTTGTTTTAGAAAATACACTTTTACCCTTACTTTAGTTAATTTTGGAGGATAATTTTACTATTACTTACATAAAAAATATTTAAGTACAGTTCTTATTAAGTAAATACCTGTTTTACTCTTATACTTTACCCATATCTTATAAAAACTCCCAGAATTCCACAAATCAGTGCTCTGCTAAGCTGATGTCTCCTTATAGGACATAAAAGATTGCACTTTATATAAATCGAGTAAGTTTTATCAGTGTCGAGGTTGCTACCTGTGCTAAGCAGATGAGATGAACACCATTAGGGCTAATCCTCCTGAACAAAGGCTTCATTGTATTTTACCGCAGTCCATCAGCAGCACTTAATTAGCCAATTATGCATTAAGCTAACAGCAGCTCTCTTGATGTTAACGGTTCTATTGAACACCGAGGGAGACTTTTCAGAGAGAGGATACATACCAGCAAATTTGAGATAATTAAACCCTTTTCCACTTAGAAATGACAGCACTTGGTTTATCGTCAGGTCTTCTCCATGTCTGGTTGTTGCGGGAATCGTTGCTGACAGACTTCGGGTTGAGGGCTACTAATCCTTGTTCTTTTTTTAATCAAAAATAAATAATTACAGTTGTATATTTTATGACATAAAATTAAAAATAATGCCAATTCTTCATTAAACTGAACCCAGGGAAATACTTAAATAAAGCAATCTAAAGACACATACATTTAATATCGAGAAAAGGTTCTGCCCATAGCCATGTGTTTCTCGTCGGAACTTATTATGAGATGTACAAAACACATAGCAAGCTCTTACGTCATTTCCTGTAGAGTAAACGTAAACGTTTAAGATTTTCAAAGTAAAAAGGCTAAACAATTTCTATTTAAATTTTTGTAGTACCGTAAACTGAGGAGATATAACTATGAAACATCTAAATTACCAATAAAAAACTGCAGTTTTTATAAACAGGTTTTGAAAACTTTTTTTTCCCCGTTTCATATTATTCATTATTATTCTTTCAACTATAATAGAACCCCCTTTTAACAAATATTTTTTTTATTTTACTTTGAGGTTGCATTTGGATTTTGAAAAAAAAAATTTTCGTCTTTACCGACTATAGTTAACAACATAGCCGCTAAAAACAATAAGAAATCATCCCTTCAAAAATGTCAACCTCCATGTAAACCTCTGGTAATAATATTAAATTAGAATCTGCCTAATTAGTAAAGTGTGTAACATGTTTGAAAACACCCTGCTAAAGTGACATGTTTGGCACTTGACTTAAAAAATAACTCTTCTTCCTAAGACAGCAGGAAGACAAGTTTAGATGGTAGTTTATTTGGTGAAAATTGATCCCCCCCCCAAACTCCATTCTAGTTGCATTCAACTATGGTTCTGAACTTGAATTGACCTTAGTAAAGGTAAAGCAAAAATAATTGCTCTAACAAAAGCAGGTTTACTGTGATCTGCTAAGTGCTTGTTGCCAAAGGTCCATGTTTTCTCTTTGCAGTAAAGAAACAAGACAAAAATGTTTGTGCAGAAACCATATTTTTAATATTGTAATTATCCAGGTTAAAATATGAAATGTTTAAGATACGTAACATTTCGATTTTAGCAGATAAAAAAAGAATGCTGTATATTATGGCAAATAGAATTTTTATATTTCTAGTAAGTCTTATAAACATTGAGACAACTCTGCTTATAAAACAGAATGGCACAGAGGAATGCATGTTCAGCTTTTTGATCACATGCCCCCAAAATTTGGAGACATGCTTAGAAATGCACACCAATAACCTTCCCACTAGTTTGGACAAAATTCACACAGTGGGATACAGTTCCATAATGGTAAAAGCATCTTGTTCTGCTCTGCACAGACCAAAGGCTTACAGGACACAACTTTTCACAAGAACAAATACACAATGAAGCCTCATTTACAAAGTATATAAAGTGCAGACTCAGGAATGAGCTACATATACAAGACACTATTGCAGACCTGTCTGTGCACTGAAGATTTACAGAAATAGGACCAGCCAGTCTAGAAATATGAACCTGTTCCATCAGCTAATGTAGTTCCCATCATGAAGAGCTGACATCAGAAGTTGTTTTAATATTGATATAAAACTGTGCTTTATGATAACTTATTGAAACTTGATTTAAGACAATGAAACCTTTAATAAGATAAAACAAAGGCAGAAATGACATTACCTGAATGCCAATTAATACAATATTTTTTGGCATAACTCGTTTCACAGTTTAAAAAACGTGTAAACTAATGTTATTCGTTTCGGCATATCAAAATACAGTTAAGTCATCCTCAGTGAATTAAAGCTCATCTGTCAAATTAAAGGTTTTAAACATACTTTAAGTACATATTTTATTCCTTTTTTATCCGAATGACCTTTTCAACGTTATTCCAATGTACTTGATATGACTGTAGAATCCAAAAAGCTGAAAGGCATTAGTGTAATACCACTATTTAAAGCACCAAGCTGAAAAACAGGAAAATTTGGTCTTAAAAGGCAGATATAAAAATAGCACTTTGTAAACGTCTTAAGGCACAAAACCAAGGTGAAACAGGAAGGTCCAGCTACACTGTTTCTATAAGGATAAAAGAGAATTAAGTCTTGCGTTTTTTGTTTTTTTTTTTAGAAATCTGGCATATTTTATGTTTAAGGCTGTATTTGCCATTCAAAATTTGATTTAACCAGGTCTTTGCCCAATAATTAGGACATTATGCAGATAGATCTACTGTTTCAACACTATTATCAGCTACACATCTATTCAAATTTCCAGTTTTTAAATGAACTGTTATTTTTCATAAAATAAATACAAAAAAAATTATTTCCAGAAAACAAACTGTGGTTTTACTTCAGTCTGCGCTGTAATAAAACCCTCTGAATCCAGCAGCGAGTACCTGCTGCTCCTAAAGCGCAACAAACTTCATTTCATTTCTATGCCAGATTACCAAAACTTTCTGTTTGAGCAATGGCACAGTTGGTGAATCGTTAAGCTTCTTAGGTTCCTCAGTGAAGAACAGAGAGAAGTCCGAGTGGAAGCAGAAAGCAGAGAGGCCAGGTCCCTAAAATGGAGGGGCCTCTATTCCACCCTCCTTCTCTCTGCTCACAGACATCACCCCTGTACCCGGTGTAGCACTGGCACTTAAAGTGCATGCGGAAAGTCTTCAGCTCTTCCTGCCCAGGGGATCCCCTGACCTTCAATTTCCCACCCTGAGAAATTATGCTTTGAGTGGAGGGGTTGAGGTGCAGATAAGCGTCGCTGTCCGGTGCTCGGCGAAGACAGCGGCCACGAAAATTGCACAACATCCGGCTGCACTGTTCCGCTGCTTTGGTCACATTGAGGAGGTAATGGCCCAGTGGTCCTAGCAGATAGTTATTCAAGGTAGAGCAGCTGGTCTGCAGGACAGAGAATATTTTACGTCAAAAGCAAAGAAACAGCAGCCTATAGAACATCAAAGGGCAAGGGAAGTTAGTGCTCTTACACTACTTGCATAGGAGGTGTCCCCCCAGAAGATCACACCCGCAGCTCCAATGGCAACACTCTCACCAATGGTGGAGACCAAATCTCTCTGCGAAGGATGTACAAACACATATTAGTTGTTCAAGGTGCGTTTACGTAAAAGGTGTTCAAGTATACAACTCAAGAAGTTACAGTAAAATAAAACACTTTAAATAGTAGTCATATAAATAGTAATTGCCAAGAGTTAACTCAATAACCAGAGTTATTGTCTTATCTGCAACAACAACATTATGGAAACAATTTACCCAAGTTTATAAAAATTTACCCAAATTGCTGGATGAATGTAAGAGATAAAAAAAAGCAAAGCCTTGTGGGCTACTTTATTAGAAACATGTTCCAGACTAACTTGTTTTCAGACAAAGACTATATTTAAGCATACGACAAACCATAAGGGCTTAGGATTTTTTCTGTTAGTCTGGAGACGTGTTTGTTAATTCAGCTAGTTTTAAATAGACTGAATAGTTGATTTGCTATTTTTTATTTATTCTTATCATTTTAATGCTTAGTTTTAGTTTAACTCTCATTTTTTTTTTGGTGAAGGATTAAAGACAATGTATTGTATTTATCAAATTAACTGTTTTTGTTAAAGCCGCCACACATTAAAAGAAAAAAAAAAAAAGGAACAATTACGGCTGACAAGCAACTAGTTTAAACTCCCCCCAATATTTCACACAGAGAATTGATAAACACAAAATGAATTATACTGAAATGTAATCCATTTACGTTTTATAAACACACAATACAGTTCCAGTTTTGGCTCCCAACAATGAACAATTTTGTTTATGCTTCCAACAAATTCATTTATTCTCATTTAAAATGTCTGTACATTCAAAGTAAGGTGGAACGGAATAGACATCAGAGATCTTGTTTATTCTTAACTTGTCCAATGAGGCTGATTCTTATTCAGCAAGCATTCATGTCACTGAGCCATAATTAAAAAGTAATCTAAGCAGCACTAGGAGAAAAAAAATATTGAATCTTTATTTTTTCTCTGACCTAAAACTGAGATGATCAAATGTAAATTTAAAAATTGTATCTTTTTTAAATAGATACCAAGTAACTTGTGTCCTCCTCCCATGCTTTTGCTTAGATTAATTTGTGAGCAAAGCTGAAACCCAAAGAAATTATTTAACTCATAACATCCGACTTTAAATCAGTTAAAAACATAATAAAAAAATAAGATTATTCTTTTAACAATTGGGAAGTAAACTCATAAGTTATTATGACTTAAAATAATTTTAAAGCTGCTTAAAACCGTTGAATCTTTCTCAAGCAAATCTAACGTTTTTATAGACTTGTTTTAATAGACTTGTAAAGATTTAGCAACTACAAGAGACCCTAGGGTTTAAGGGCCCAATGCAGTATTTTATTATGTTTTTGCTTTAGGGCGACTCTTTCAGAGATGCATGGGAAATTGACTAGCATAGAAAAAACAGATTAGACTGCAGTGTGATCAGAGTTTGAATTTGAAGATTTTTTGTTTTTACTGTTAACTGTATTTTCTACAGATTCTACAACAGAAAAGAATAAGGAGCCCCTATATCACAGGGAAACTTCAAATCAGTACTGGTTATGTCAAATTTGAACAAGACCTACAAATCTTGTATCAGTGCCTCTGAATGAGGTTTCAAAATCTCCTCGATTGATAAATGTTAAAGATCCCTTCATGACATTTCGAAGTGATCAACTAACCTCAGTTAAAAGGGTCATCTCACTGTTGTAAGTGGGTCTGGTATACACAAAAACAGGACGTGCCGAACCATTCCCTACAGATGCAAGGCGCATCGCCTCCTTCAGCCTGTTCCTCACAAACAAGCGTCCATGATTTGTAGAGCGCAGCACAGAACCCATGTATATAGAGGGAAAAAGAGCCGTACATTCCTTCCACAGCCAGTTCAGTTGATCGTTGCGCTTTATCTCAACCGCAGGACAACGTCCTGTGTAGTTGTTCAGCCCGGCTTTGTAGTCATGGTTGTAGCAATCAGGAAACAGGTAGAAACCCCACAGCTGATTAGGTCTCAGACTTTTAGCTTGTCTCAGGGTCTCTTGCATGAACTTGCGAGCCGAAAGCTCAAACTCTTGCTGTGCAACAATCCCAACTTGCTCTTGGGTCCACTTGGGGTTTTTTTGGGCCACCAATTCACGCGACTTCCTTCTATAGATGTCTTTGGCATCCCAGTTTCGGATCCACAGGGGCCGCCACTCCTCCCAATCAATGACAGACAGACCTTTGGCCTGATGGTCTGGTATGTATTTGTCTAGACCCTGAGGCATCTTTTCATAGTGCTCGATAAGCCTAACAAGCTGTGGAAGCCCCTCATTCACCGCAGCACCGTCAGTCTCATAATAGGGATAAAGCCCGAGGCGTTCCTTATAGAACATTGTGAGATTCTGCCGGACAAAACCCTCATTGGGGGTTGCCACAATGTCAAACTGGTCCAATGATAACGTAACACCCCGTCGTGTCCCACACTCCTGAGTGGGAGCGTTCCACACCAGAAGAACTGGCTTCTGGGAGTATAATGGCCATCTTGTCTGCTTTGTGTCTGCTGAACCCAGGATCATCCATGAAGTAAACAGAGCAAAGATGAACCAGGACAGATGGTTAGAGGCAGAGAGGAAGGAGGGGAATGCAGCCTCCATGGTGGTCCCTGCTCACCTTCTCTCCTCTGTTACTAAATGACACACAGAAAGGCTGTGAAATTAGTGTAAGATACAATATGTAGACAGAAAAAAATCAGTCCAGGATAATAGTTTAGTTTACAAACAGTTTTAAAAACACAGCAAACACATTTACCAGAACAAAACAGTTAAATGTCGATCAAACTACGTTAAATTATTCAGCTTCCTTTAAAGTGGTGAACTTCCTCTACTTCTTTTTGCAGAGTTAGCAATCCGCTAACAGCTTACTCAGGTACATTAGCTTAAAGTTTCAATGAAACTAATAGCTACGATGCTAACTTAGCTACTGGGTTTCAGTCTCCGTACTTCACCTGCTCTTTTCACTTGGTCCAACCATGAAACCGTCTGATAAGTTAGCTGTCGACCTCCTAGCCATGTGAGGCAGCAGGGATAGCCTGTTCAAGACATTTTTTGAAGAGTGTAAACCAGAGGAAAGCGCTGGACGGACAGGGACAGAGCAAACGTTGAGCAACAACAGACACACCCATTTAACTGCTGTCGGAGGGGGGGGGTCCTAGATCATTGTCAGGTTTAGTTTAAAACAAAAATATGTTTTTGTTAAATGAAAAGCCTTTTTATAGCTTTAAAAAATTACAATAATAATTAAGTAAACTGTCAGTTTAAGGATATAATTGTATTCCAGTGAGGGCTATCATCCCCCCATCTTTGGTTTGCCCCAAATGCTGCCTGCGCTTTATCTGATGGTTCACCAGAAAACACAATTTTCTACACTCCTTACCAGTTGGTGGCGGTAATGCTACACGAAGAAGAACACAATTTTCTCAGGTTGTTCACCAGCAAATCCATCTCACATTTGCCAGAAATGATCTTGAGTATTAAAAAAGAAAAATAATGTTGTGTGGGATAACAAAAGATAAAGAACAAAATACTTCTGAAAAGAAAATTAGAAAAAACCCACAACAAGAACAGCACAGTGATGCTCTTCACTCCACGAAGTTGACCTCTAACGAAACAAAGTTAGGGTTTTCTAGGTTTGGACTTAATGCTGGTGTATGACCTTCAATGATTTGTTCATGTTCAAAGCCCCTCCAGTGTTGTTGAATTTGAATAAATATTAAAAGAAGAGACCGTGTTTGTGACCCTTCATGTTTTTAACCCCAAATGGATAATTTATTTGGTTTTCTATATTTGGCCATGGTAATATGATATAATGTTTTTGTTGCTATAATGAAGGACTTCTTCAACTATAAGAAAATGAATATCATACTGTCCTGCTTTTTAGCTATTTCTCAGCAAAAGTCAAGTATCAAATGTCTAACCTGTTACAGGACATGCGTAATGAATGAAAAAAATATTAACTAAACTTTTGCTAAACTTTTTATTGATTGATTGATTGGATTTTTACTATTTACTATTTTACTTTACTATTCACAAAACAAAACAGGATGTTTGTTGGTTTTATTTAGTTAATATAAAAAGATAAAGGTAACAGGAGGGACCAGATGTAACAGGGTGGGCGTCTAAATCAATCCTCACCATCATTGACATTTATATTTTTTACCAATCCTTTTTTGAAAACTGTAAATAACTTAAAAAAATAAATAATGAATTAGCATTAAATAGGAATCGACATAGAAAGCACATACTTCTCTTGCCTTTTTAAGTCCACCCTGTTATATGTGTCTACCCTGTTACCATGAACAACTGTAATAGGATGAACGTAGCTGTACTACATCAATCAGCCATTGTAAAACACACAAAAAAAGTTCAAATAAAGATATTATTTGACATTGTAGATGTTATTCCTCTATAAATAACTGTTATTACATGTCATTTGACAATAGAGGTTGCTTTGGAGGTGGGCATTTGAATTGCAATCTCAATAGATGAATACTAACTTGAGTTTGTAAAATAAGATGAAAAATAAGATTTAATTCAAATAAGATTTCATTATTAATTAATTATCAAACATATCTGATAGGATTAATTAATTAAGTATAAACTCGCCATAACACAAAATATAGGACATTATGTCATTGAGGACTTGAAAGGCATTAAATAGTAGGATTGACCCAGAATGGATTCATAGTAATAACAACATCCTCTTAAAGGGAGATATTACTGGATGAAAACTAAACTTAAATTCTTTTTTTTTCTTTTTATCCAAGCATAGAAAGGGTTATAGAAATAAGCCCTGAGGCTCTTCTAACAATGGCGGCATATGAACACATTCAATTCTTTTGATTTTGGGCGCACTCCTTGCAAAGGCGTGTCCACTTCCTCAAACACACCATCAGCAAACTTATGTGTTACCTTGCTGGGTATAATCTGATAGACTGGCGTCTAATCTAGGTGTCACAGCAGCTTCTAATCAGCCTGGATACAGACATTTTGCTCCATTTATCAAATCTAGTCCCCGAGGAGAGGAACTGTGTCATTCTATCTATATAGGCGGCCTATAATCTTTCACTTCCTTTCTCCTTAGATTGTTTAACCTTGTGGTGTCAGTGAAGATGATTTATTCATTTCTTTAAAAAGTTGACATTTTCTGCTTTAGCTAATGTGACCCCTGACAGAGATAAAAATAGTTAAACTTTTATACCTTATACTACTGTATTATAGTATGAGTAAGGAAAACAATCTATAATTAATTGAAACATATACATGTATACACACCAGAGGAAGTCCATCAAGGCCAACAAGCTGTATAATTCATCTCTCTGACATCAATTAATTTCATTACTTATTATTTATTTATTTCATTACTTCTCTATATGCAATAACAGAGTCATGTGCAATAATTGTTATTTGGTACTGAGCAGCATTGTAAATACTATCGATTGTATATACTGTGATCCTTATTTTATTTTATTCTTATATCTTATATTACACTGTTTATATGGGAAGGGTGTAATTTTACACTGTGTTGTTATTTGACTATTTTACTTATTTATATATATCTTATACTATATATTATTTTTGCTCTATTGTGCTTTAAATCTCATTTTTCTCTGTTCTTTAAAAGGGTGCACTGCAAGAAATGAATTTCCAGCAAAAGATTAATAAAGTGATTCTGATTCTGATGTCTATTATAATTAAAAACTATAAGTATATTAGGGTTTAACAAGTCTTTTTATGAAGGATAACTATTATTCACAACAAGGCATGTCAAAACTAACAGCAATGTGGAAGACTAAATGGTAGTTATGGCAGCAGTTATTAGTTTATAAGGTTTACGGGATATTGCCTGTGACATAGTTCTATTGTGTTTAGATTTCCCTTTATATATGAAAACATAATTTAAAGCTGAAGTTGTTTTTATTCATGTTATCTTTGTGTGATACCATTTAGTTGATATTCTGACACATTTAAAAGTCTTATAATGCTGTTTTAAGCCTTCGTTTTTTTGGTGCTGTTTTTCGAACCTAGAAGAAAAACACATGCCTTTACTGCAATGTTGCAGCATCCACTTTGCCCATGTCAGGATACTATAGGCTCTTGTTTAGGAAGGCAGAACAAAGTCTAAGAACTCTAGCAGCTGAAATCGGTGTTCTACATAGATAGAGACTTTTTTTCCAGGACAGAGAGGGGCTGCTGCTCAGAGAGTAGAATTCAAAACTCAGACATCCACAAATCAAGTAAAGTTTGAGCATGAATTTGATTAAGAAAGACATAGTTAATAACTCAAGCTGATTTCGCTTGATGAAGGCTTTTTAAGTATGTGACAACAAAAAGAAAAAAAGAGAAGAAACACTACAGAAAACTGTACATTATATTATTATAGTTTAATTATGTTTTAATGATCTTTGCCTATATTAAATTCATATGAAGGCACAATGCATTTCGAACTAAATCGATATAGTTGCGTATAACAAAAATAGAGTAAGCCTATAATTTAAATGTAAAGTTATTTTATGTATTTCGTTAAAATGGTGAAGTAATATACATCCAGTAGTTACATTTCCACACAGTTTTAGATTTCAAGCAGTTGTATCTGATATTTTTTTTTTGCTGATTTTGGCTTTCAGCTTAAAGAACAGTTTTAAAAAAATAGTTTACACTAATAAAACGGATCTGTTCTACAGAAGGGAAAACCACTTACTTAACAGCTTACTAGACAGTCACCGATACCCGGCACTGGAAGGGTTAAAGTCAAAAATGCTGAGGGCTGAAAATAAATTGGTTTGTACAAATGTCTTTAAAACCCTGACTGTATAGATATTATGAAGTAAAAGCCTTATCATGTGTCTTACCAGGAGTTGGTGCTTCTTTAATCCTCTGATGAAACTCTGTCAGCTGATTAGTTATTTACTATCTACAGTAGATGAAGCTTCTCAGTCAAAAAGCGACTCCCTCTGCCCTGAGGTCCTTTAACAACTGCTGTTTAAATATCCATGAAACTCCTCCTCTCTGACCACTTCACCAATATGCAAAACAATGGTCTACATTTACTTACATTTTCCTTATCCATCGGTGAAAGTAAAAATGCTAGAAATCTCATCTGTTGTCTTAAATTGGTCTGACATAAAGATGATTACCTCATCTCATGTCATACCATTGAATCATTGGGTGTTGATCTTTTTTTAATGCCCTCCCTCTGTTATTTGCTTTAGTTATATTGATATTGGTACATGCACAGAGAGTCTCCTAACTTGAAAAAAGGCGATATATAAGTACATGCCATTTACCATTTAGTTATATTGATATTGGTACATGCACAGAGAGGAAATGAAACCCTATGACTGGATTTAATCCCAGGATCTCTTTTGATTGTCCCTGCATAACTGCATTAACACTAGGATTATTGTTTGTTGCACTCTCTCACATAACTACTCTATATTGCCTTTCTTATTTTATGTTACAGCCAAAAATATGAAGTTTGACAGGATGTAGAAAAATGGAAATCTGTAACCGACTGTAGGCTTTCATCCTTGACTTTGACTGGTCCATTCTAACACATGGCGAGGCTTTTACAAAACCATTCCATTCCCTTTCAGGAATGCCATATATCGAAGGCTGTCCTTCTTCTTACAAACTCTATTAATCTTCTGTGTCCCTGCATAATAAAAGCATCCCTACAGCTCCTCCAGAGTCACAACTTTCCTGACCTGTCTGATTTATTTCCTGGACTTCCATTATGCTGTTTGTTAACTAATGTTCTCTAATCATAGAGGCCTTCAGGGAACAGCTTTATTTATATTGAGATTAGGTTAAACACAGACAAATGCCATTTAACACTAAGGTGACTTTTGCAGACAGACAGCTGCTCTAGATTCTATTTAGGGGTTTTAGAGTGAAAATGCTCAAGATATGAATGAGCATCTAACCTTTTAGATTTGTAAAAGAAATTTAAAATCATGTAAGATTTTCCTTCTATTTTATAATCAGGCCTGGTAACATTGGGATGTGAATACTTCTGCTTGACCCTTGTTTTTTATTGCTTGGGCAATATTAAGTAGTTTGAGGATGATTTGATTGCAGTCCGTGAATTCATAATAAGACTATAATATTCTACTCTAAGTCTGTGTCCAGCTTTTATTAAAAGACAACATGGATGAGATTCATAGCAGAGTTTTATCATTTTTCTGCTGAATGAGCTCAGAAAACTGGTTCCTGGTACCTTTGAATAAAACCACATTCCGTATGCTAAATGTCCATACCCTAAATATATACCTTGGTCAGCAAAACGAGGAATGGGTGGTTTCCTGAGTTATATTTCAAAGAAAAAAAGGAACTTGCTGAATGTTATTTCAGCTGTCAGGAGATAAACAAAGGGCTATAACTGCTCTGCCACATCTCCCCAGGTCATAAAACCAGAATTATCCAATATCAGTGAATAAAGCATGACTCATGCAGAGTAAGATTGTTTCAAAGAAGTAATTATGTTGAGCATATGTTGGCAAATAGCTTCTCTTATCTTTTAGGGAGAGCAGTATTATCCAGCTTTGTAGACATCCTTCTGCAGAAAGTGAAAAAAAGGCTTAAATCCATCAAGTTAGTGGAAACTTATACACACAGCAGTTTGTTTCAGCAATTTCCCCCTTCAGCTGGAGGTCAGGGTGTTATTTCCACTACAGCTCCAGTCTGCTGAGTGTTTTAAACCCATTTCCCAAAATGTTAATTTCTGTTATTATAAGAAGTGAAAAAAAAAGAAAATTGTAAGCCTGCAGGGTCATAAACGTAAGCAGATGGATTAACCTCTGCATTTTAAAGTGGGGTTGTTTCAGAAATGTAGATCTGCCTGGAGCGGTTTTATACTCCCACCTACTAAAGCCAGCTGCTTCTCTTGCTACAGGACATTAACAGGTGTGTCTATATGTACAACTTTCAGTGACACTTGATTATTACAAAAATTATTTAGAATTTCATGTCAAAAAGTGATTTTTATTAAGTATAGGACTCAATCTTCTCACAATTTTAGACAGTTTGGAATGTTTGAGGAGAAATAATATCTAAATTTATTGAAAGTAAGGCTGAAACAATTGGAATAATCGATTACTGAAATAATATTCAACTAATTTAGTAATTGATTTAACGTTGACTGGAGTATAGAGACTCATAAACATGCCTTTAGCTGAGAGAGCAACTAAATTAGAGCATTAATTATATTAAAATTGTAAAAAAAAAAAAAAACATATAAACCTTTTGTATTTAAGATTTTTTTTTTAATACCGGTAGTTTTCATCTGTCAATATTCTCTATCCAGAACTCCTGAAGTGGAAAAGTATTAATTTCATAAAAGATCTTCTTTGGCTATCATATTATTAATAAATAAATTTAAAAAAATAATCGGCAGATTAATTTATTTAGATTAATCTGATTAATTAGATACAGTCCTAAATTAAATTAATTTTCTAGCAATTTCAGTGATAATATGGAAAAAATTTATTCAGGGCAAAAGATTATACTAGTTTTTTCACAGTTTAAATCAGCGTTCAGGTAAACAGTAATTATTATCTAAAAATGGAATTGGGGAATTTTTCTTAGTTTACTAATTTAGTTAATAATAATAATAGAACTTTATTAATCTCACATTGGAGAAATTTACCTCTGCATTTAACCTATCCCTTTGGGGAGCAGAGGGCTGCCACCGTGGGGCGCCCGGGGAGCAATCAGGGAGGACGGGTCTTACTCAGATACCCTGAGTGGCAGTCTGTGGAAGTGGGGCTCCAACTCAGAACTTCAGGATTCCCAGCTCTATGCACTAACCACTAGGCTGCCACTCCAAAAAGCAATAGAAGCGATATGTATTACAATGTGTGAATATATTTAAATCCTTTAATGCTGACCATTGATAATAATGGTTTACAGTTAATGAAAAACTAAAATGCAGTGACTTTATGGATAATAGCCCAATAAATGAAGGAAATTCCAATACATATTTGTTATAGATTCATAAATCATTGAGATAATAGCTAATAGGACTACTAATATTAAATGCTTGCTTGCAGATAAATCATAAATGCCATTCACAAGGAGGGTACGCCACAAAAAGGTCACGGCTAGGTATACATACTCATGGAAAGTTGTGTGAAAGGAAAAAGGTGCCGCACAGATGAAGCAAAGTGCACCCAGGGCGTGTTGGTGTGAAGGCCTCCTCTGAGTCAGAAAGACATGACAAGCATCTAATCTGGACCATTAAGAAAAGTGACCATAGTGCTTCACAGCTGTTTAGAGCCCTATTTTAAAATTAAAGTCGAATTTGCATTACATCTGGAAAAAAGGATCCAAGTCTAGAAGCACAAAGAACAGCAGGATAAGACTTTTGTTCAAACTCAGCAATGATTTTGGGAGTTATGTCAACTCTTGGAAATGAGCCGCTGTGTTTTATAAAGTACAAAGTCTGAGCAGCCTTTTAAGGGTCCCTCTGCTAAACACCTGATGTTGATTTCTTACAGATAAACTTCTAGAAGTACCAACACCAATGGCAACACTGTTGGGATGGCCAGTATACAGCCCAAAACAGAAACAAGCTGAAGACACAACAAAGAGCTGAAAGTCACTATTAAAACAAGCTTCACTAGTGTAATATTCATGTTTTCTAAGAAGCTAAGTTAATCAGCTTTAAGCCATAATCATCAAAATAATCTGATATACATATTTGAAATATACATCTTTGTGTAATTCATACCTTAGCTTCAGTTAAAATTAAAAAATATCAATTTCTTCGTGTTATGAGATGATGAGAAGTAGAAGATAAAACATGAAAGGCAAGCATTTCAGTCTGTAATTAAAAAATTTGTTTTAATAAATTAAATCTGAAACACATCCTGCCAAAACAGCAAAGAAAAAACAAATCAGGATCTCCAATTTAACTCACTTCTGCTTTGTACGTTTGTGGTTATGGAAGTCAGGGAAACAAGTCCTTCAAATGTTACATTATATATAATACCATTCCTTTATATATTCATTGGGTGGCTACTGATTGCCAATTCACAGGGATGCAAGCCCAAACCAGCTCATCTCCATCCAAAATGAAGCAAAACAAAATAGTGTCAATAAAATTCTATGTGCAGAGAAAAATTGCTCACTTAAGATAAAATCATAATAATGCATTTTATTCTAAACTCATTGAGTTCAATGCATGGAACAAGAAAACAATCTGCAGCAAAAGAATATTTCCGACTCTTAAAGTTTTCATCCTTTGTCTGCACACATTCACACAACATGCACACGAGCCAAGATCCCCAAAATGTGAGAGGATTCTCCTTTTCCTCTTTGTCCCAACAGGCGGTCCATCCCGTCTCTCACTGCACGCAAAGCCAAAAAACGGGTCACATGCAGAGAATCGGCACACAATGCAAGAGCATTTCCAAACAGGGGCTTCAGAGAATTTAGGAGATCGTGTAATTTCAAATTTGTTTCTGGCTTTAGTTTGCAGGGTGTTGAGGAAAGAAGCAAAACCAGGACGGAGCTGACACAGTGGCTTGTCTGAGTCCCGCAGAGACGGTCAGGCTTCACAAAGGATAACGGGGAAATCTACATGGATGCGTGGGTGGTCCAGGTTTATAATTCCCTGAAAGGAGATGGAAGGAATCGTAAGATGATTTGCATTGAAAATAAAAATGACTGGTGTTTATTCAGTATGCACAAATGTTCCGTTTAGAAACATCATCCAAAAGCATGTACTGGAATGGGTCTAATCAAATAATTCATTTTCAGTTCAATTATAAAAATAATTAGCTTAGTTTTATTCTTATGTTTTAAATTCATTTTGATTATAATAAAAAACATAATCAAAATGGATATGTAAGCCTTAAAAGATCATAAAAACCAAACTATTCTGCATCACTCAGGAAAGGTCTGAATTGTGGATATCTAGTTTATAAAATTATCTTTCGAAGATTTTTAATCTCACCTGAGGTGTTAAGTTCTTCTGAATCCTTCTCAGCTTGGCTCTTTTACGGCCATTTTTTGTCACAATTGTCTCCTCGTAAAACTCGTGGGCCAAGTCCCCGTCCTCATCGAAGAACATAGAGCTATAGCAAGTGGGGGGGGGAAACAATACACATATTACCTTATGAATCATCTCTTGGGCTCATATACACTGTGTGCAGAATTATTAGGCAAATTAGTATTTCGACCACATCATCCTTTTCATACATGTCCTACTCCAAGCTGTATAGGCTTGAAAGCCAACTACCAATTAAGTAAATCATGTGGTGTGCAGCTCTGTAATGAGAAGGGGTGTGGCCTAATGACATCAACACCCTATATAAGGTGTGCTGAATTATTAGGCAACTTCCTTTCCTTTGGCAAAATGGGTCAGAAAAGAGATTTGACAGACTCTGAAAGGTCAGAAATTGTCAGATGTCTTTCAGAGGGGTGCAGCTGTTTGGAAATTGCCAAGCTTTCTAAGCGGGATCATTGCACAATCAAGTGTTGAAAAAAGAAGACGCAAAATAACTCCCCATGCATCGAGAAGGATCCGGCATGAAGCTGCCAGGAAGCCATTAGCCACCAGTTGTGCCATATTTAAGAGCTGTATGTCTGTAGTGCAGAGAAGCACAAGGTGCTCAATACTCAGGGACCTGGCCAACGTAAGGTAAGGAAAGCTGAAAAAAGGCCACCTTTGAACAAGACACACAAGACAAAACGTCAAGATTGGGCCAAGAAATATCTGCAGACTGATTTCAAAAAGGTGTTTTGGTCTGATGAAATGAGTGAGCCTTGATGGGCCAGATGGATGGATGGGCACCAGGCTGGATCAGTAAAGGTCAGCAAGTTCCTTATGGACTCAGAAGCCAGCAAGGTGGAGGTGGGGTACTGGTATGGGCTGGTATCATCAAAGATGAGCTTGTTGGACCTTTTCGGGTTGATGATGGAGTCAAGATCAACTCCCGGACATACTGCCAGTTTCTGGATGACGCCTTCTTCAAACAGTGGTACAAGAAGAAGTCGCCATCATTCAAGAAAAACATGATATTCATGCAGGACAATGCTCCGTCACATGCATCAAAATACACCACAGCGTGGCCGGCCAGAAAAAGTCTAAAAGGAGAAAAAATTATGACATGGCCTCCTTGTTCACCTGATCTGAACCCCATCAGGAACCTGTGGCCCTTCATGAAAGGTGAGATCTACAGGGAGGGAAAACAGTCCACCTCTCTGAACAGTGTCTGGGAGGCTGTGGTGGCTGCAGCACGCAATGTGGATCACAAACAGAGCAAGACACTGACAGAATCTATGGATGGAAGGCTTTTGAGAGTCATGGGGAAGAAAGGTGGCTATATTGGTTACTGATTTGTTTTTTTTTTGTTTTTCAATGTCGCAAACGTTCATTTCTGAATTTTTAGTTGTTATATTGGTTACCTGGTGAAAATAAACAAGTGAGATGGGTATATGTTTGTTTTTTATTATGTTGCCTAATAAGTCTCCACAGTAATATTTACCTGCACTCACAGACATCCTCATAAAATGGCCAAAACAAATCAAATTCCAAAAATATGAAACTGATATTAATTAGTCTTTTTGGTTGATTGAGAACAAAATTGTGGCCCAATTATAAAAATAATCCTCAAAAATACAACTTGCCTAATAATTCTGCACACAGTGCAATTTTTTTCCACTCCTTATAAACACATCACTGTAAATAAAACACCCAGTGTTCCTCAGAGGGGGAGCAGCAAGAGATCAGCTAAAATAAAAATGCAAGATATAAACAAAAACAAACAGCTCATTGAGCTTATAAATTATCCAGTATTCAGAATCTAATCCCAAATCATAAATTCCAAATCAGTTTATAAACCTGTGAGGTTTTCTAACATTTATGAATACTAAGCATATATTTACCTTCTTCTTGTGAACACAAAGGGAGTAGCTCCAGGGAAACTTCGTGTTCTTGCCAGTGTCTGCTCGTTTCCATCTTTGGCTGCATCGTCCCCACTGCCTGAGCCAGAGAAAGGCCAAAATCCCTTGGATTTGGAGCCACTACCCCCCATCTTCAGCTGCAGCACATTATTTTCCCTGAGTCACAGGGCAAGTAGTGATGATGCAGTTATTGTATAGAAGTTAATGGAATCTTCAAGGTGGGATACCTTCAGAAAAAGAGACACATGAAGAATTGTGTAAATTGTGTTAAAGAATAACTGACACAGTAAACAGGTTTAAATTTAGTTTAAAAAAAAATACAGACTACTTTCTTCCTTGACGAATAAAAGATTAGGTCAAAAAACAGAACACAAGTTACATAAATGTCCAGGTTATAACAACATTTAGATGAGATTAGTCTTTTTAAAACTTTTATTATATATTAAATTTATTTAGGG